ACACTGGGGACATTGAGGGGACAGCTTGGGGACACTGGGGGACATTGAGGGGACACTGGGGACATTGAGGGGACATTGGGGGACATCGGGCACATCTGGGACAGCCAGGGGGACATTGGGGACAGTGGGGACAGCAGGGACATCAGGGAACACCAAGGGACAGCGGGGACACTGGGGACACTGGGGACATTGAGGGGACACTGGGATGGCACTGGGGACATTGGGGGATACTGAGGGACAGATGGGGACATTGGGGGGACATTGGGGGACATTGGGGGACGGCAGGGACAGGAGGGGACAGTGGGGACAGTGGGGAGAGAGCTGGGGATGGCCCGAGGGGCGGGGAGGGGACATTGGGGACACTGGGGACACTGGGGGACAACTGGGGTGGCCCTGGGGGGACACTGGGGACAGCCAGGGGACATTGGGTGGCACTGAGATGGCACTGGGGGACGCTGGGGACAGTGGGGACAGCGGGGACAACAGGGACAGTGAGGGACATCAGGGAAGGACCTGGGTCACGTTCTGGACCCCTGGGTGACCCCTGAAAGGACCTGGGTGACCTCCTGGACCTTTGGTGGGACCTGGACATTGGGGTCCACCTGGACCTGGGTCCATCCTGAGACCCCTGATGGGTCCTGGGTGACCTCCTGGAGCTTTGGTGGGACCTGGACACCTGAACCTGGACACCTGAACCTGGACACCTGGGTGACCCCTGAAAGGATCTGGGTCATCTCCTGGAGCTTTGGTGGGACCTGGACATTGGGGCCCACCTGGGCCTGGACACCTGGGTGACACCTGGAAGGTCCTGGGTGACCTCCTGGACCTTTGGTAGGACCTGGACCTGGACACCTGGCTCCATCCTGAAAGGTCCTGGGTCACCTTCTGGAGCTTTGGTGGGACCTGGACATTGAAGCCCACCTGAACCTGGACACCTGGGTGACCACTGAAAGGATCTGGGTCACCTTCTGGACCTTTGGTGGGACCTGGACATTGGGGTCCACCTGGACCTGGACACCTGGATCCATACTGACTCCCCTGAAATGTCCAAGTGATGTTCTGGAGCTTTGGTGGGACCTGGACACCTGGGTGACTCCTGAAAGGTGCTGGGTCATCTCCTGGACCTTTGGTGGGACCTGGACATTGGGGTCCACCTGGACCTGGGTCCATCCTGAGACCCCTGATGGGTCCTGGGTGACCTCCTGGACCTTTGGTGGGACCTGCACACCTGGGTGACACCTGGACCTGCACACCTGGGTGACACCTGGACCTGGACACCTGGGTGACACCTGGACCTGCACACCTGGGTCCATCCTGAGACCTCTGAAAGGACCTGGGTCATCTCCTGCGCCCTTGGTGGGACCTGGACACCTGGACCTGGAGGGGAGTCAGACCCCACTGGGGAGGGGTCCCAAACCCGATTTAAGGTCCCAAACCCCGTTTGGCATCACAGACTCGATTTGGGGTCCCAAACCCCATTTGGGGAGGGGTCTCCACACCCCCATTTTTGGGGGGGGGTCTCAGACCCCATTGGTGGAGAGGTCCCAAACTCCCATTTGGGGACGGGTCCCAAACCCCATTTAGGGTCCCAAAACCCATTTAGGATCCCAAACCTGATTTGGGGAGGGGTCCCAGACCCGATTTTGGTTCCCAAATCCCATTTGGGGAGGGGTCTCCATCCCCCCATTTGGGGAGGGGTCCCAAACCCAATTTAAGGTCCCAAACCTCATTTAGGGTCCCAAATCCCATTTGGGGAGGGGTCCCAAACCCCATTTGAGGTCACAGGCCCCATTTGGGCAGGGGTCTCAGACCTGATTTAGGGTCCCAAACCCCATTTGGGGAGGGGTCCCACACCCGATTTAGGGTCTCAGACCCCATTTGAGGAGAGGCGATTTTGTGGTTTTGGGGAGGGGTCCCACACCCGATTTAGGGTCCCAAACCCCATTTGGGGAGGGGTCCGAGACCCAATTTAGGGTCCCACACCCCATTTGGGGTCACAGACGCGATCTGGGGAGGGGTCCCAAACCCTATTTGAGGTTCCAAACCCCATTTGGGGAGGGGTCTCCATGCCCCCATTTTGGGGGGGAGGGTCTCAGACCCCATTTGGGGAGGGGTCCCAAATCCCATTCAGGGTCCTAAATTCCATTTGGGCAGGGGTCCAGACCCGATTTGGGGTCCCAAACCCCATTTGAGGAGGGGTCTCCATGCCCACATTTAGGGTCTCAAACCCTATTTGGGGAGGGGTCCCAGACTCCATTTGGGGAGGGGTCCCAGACCTGATTTAAGGTCCCAAACCGGATTTGGCATCACAGACCTGATTTGGGGTCCCAAACCCCATTTGAGGAGGGGTCCCAAATCCCATTTTGGTTCCTAAACTCCATTTGGGGAGGGGTCCCAAACCCCATTTAGGGTTCCAAACCCGATTTAGGGTCCCAAACCCCATTTGGGGAGGGGTCTCCATGCCCTCATTTAGGGTCCCAAACCCAATTTGGGAAGGGGTCCCAAATCCCATTTGGGGAGGGGTCTCAGACCCCATTTAGGGTCCCAAACCCCATTTAGGGTCCCAAAGCCAATTTGGGGAGGGGTCTCCATGCCCCCATTTAGGGTCCCAAACCCCATTTGGGGAGGGGTCCCAAACCCCATTTAGGGTCCCAAACCTCATTTGGGGAAGGGTCCCAAACCCCATTTGGGGAGGGGTCCCAAACCCAACTTGGGGAGGGGTCTCAAACCCCATTTAGGTCCCAAACCCCATTTGAGGAGGGGTCTCCATGCCCCCATTTTGGGGGGGGGGGGTGGGGGGTTATCAGCCCCCATTTGAGGGCCCACAAAAAACGGGGAGGGGTCCCTGAGTGATTTTGGGGGGGTCCCAAACCCTCTGTGCCCCTCCCCCACCCCAGATCCCCCCCCTCTGACGCCCCCTCCCCAAATTAACCAGACCCCCTTTGGGTTTTTTAGGGTTTTTTATTCTCGGCCCCTTTTCCGGGCGGTTTCACCCCAAAAACCGCGAGGGCCCCTCCCCCTCCCCCTCCCCCCGAGCCGCCCGCGGCCCCCCCACCCCCCCCCGGGGGGTCCCCCCTGGTTTGGGACCCCCCCCCCAAATGAAGGGACCCCAAAAAGGGGGGCAGGGGATGTGGGGACCCCTCCCCTAAATACAGCACTGAGGGAGGGGGAGGTCCCAAAATGGGGGGGGGGGGGCGTGGGGACCCCCAAAATGGGGGGGACAAGGACACCTGGGGACCCCCGAAATTGGGGGGACAAGGACCTGGGGACCCCCAAAATGGGGAGGGGTCTTGAGATGTTCTTGACCCTCAAAATGGGGGGGACAAGGGCACTGGGGGACCCCCAAATTTGGGGGAAGAAGGACACCTGGGGACCCCCAAAATGGGGGGAAAGAGGCACCCGGAGACCCCCGAAATTGGGGGGAACAAGGACACCCCAAGACCCCCGAAATTGGGGGGTGAAAGACACCTGGGGACCCCCAAATTGGGGGGAAAGAGACACCCGGGGACCCCCAAAACAGGGGGAGAAGGACACCTGGGGAGCCCCGAAATTGGGGGGAGAAGGACCTGGGGACCCCCAAAATGGGGAGGGGTCTTGAGATGTTCTTGACCCTCAAAATGGGGGGGACAAGAACACCAGGGGACCCCCAGGACCCCAAAAAAATGGGGAGGGGTCTTCAGGTGTCCATGACCCCCAAAATGGGGGGGACAAGGGCACTCGGGGACCCCCAAAATTGGGGGAAGAAAGACACCTGGGGACCCCCAAATTGGGGGGAAAGAGACACCCGGGGACCCCCAAAATGGGGGGGACAAGAACACCTGGGGACCCCCAAAATTTGGGGGCAGAAGGACACCTGAGGACCCCCCAAATCTGGGGGGAGAATTGACACCTGGGGACCCCCAAAATGGGGGGGACAAGGATACCTGGGGACCCCCCAAATGGGGGGGGACAAGGACACCTGGAGACCCCCAAATTGGGGGACAAGGACACCCGGGGACGCCAAGAGCAGAGGTGGGGGGACAGGGACACCCCAAAACCCCCCGGGACAGTGGGGTGACCCCAAAACCCCTCAGAGCTCTGAGATCAGGGACAGGGACACCCCAAAACCCTCTGAGACAGTGGGGTGACCCCAAAACCCCCCAACAGTGCAGGGTGACCCCAAAACCCTTCTGAGATGTCCCTGGTGACCCCAAACAAGGTGACCCCGAAACCCCCCTGAGGTTGGGGACAAGGACACCCCAAAACCCCTCTGAGACATTGGGGTGACCCCAAAACCCCTCTGAGATCAGGGACAGGGACACCCCAAAACCCCCCGGGACTGTGGGGTCACCCCAAAACCCTTCTGAGATCGGGAACAAGGACACCCCAAAACCCACTGAGACAGTGGGGTGACCCCAAAACCCCCCTGAGATTGGGGACAGGGGACAGGGACACCCCAGAACCCCCTGAGACATTGAGGTGACCCCAAAACCCCCCAGGACAGTGGGGTGACCCCAAAACGACAAGATTGGGGACAAGGACGCCCCAAAACCCCCCGGGACAGTGAGGTGACCCCAAAACCCCTCAGAGCTCTGAGATTGGGGACAAGGACACCCCAAAACCTCCTGAGACATCAGGGACAGGGTTCCTGGTGACCCCAAACCAGGTGACCCCAAAACCCCCTGGGACAGCGGGGTGACCCCAAAATTCCCTGAGATCAGGGACAGGGGACAAGGACACCCCAAAACCCCCTGAGACAGTGGGGTGACCCCAAAACCCCTCAGATGTCTGAGACTGGAGACAAGAGCACCCCAAAACCCTCTGAGATTGGGGACAAGGACACCCCAAACCCCCCTGGGACAGTGGGGTGACCCCAAAACCCCCCTGAGATGTCCCTGGTGACCCCAAAACCCCCCTGAGATCAGGGACAGGGACACCCCAAACCCCCCGAGGATGAGGATGAGGATGAGGAGGATGAGGATGAGCCCAGCGAGCCCCCCCAGCTCCGGGGCTGTTTTTGGGGGGGGTCCCCCCGAGTCCGCACCCCCCGGGGGGGTTTTGGGGGGTCCCTACGGGGGCAGGATCTGCTCCAGGAGGGGTTTGTGGGCGGGCGGGATCCGCTCGGGGAACTTGACCTCGAACTCGATGACGAGGTCCCCGCGCAGCTCCGGCGAGCGCGGCAGCGGCAGCCCCTGGCCCGGCACGCGGCGCCGGACGCCCGGCTTGAGCACGTCCTGGAACACCATGGGCATGGAGCGGCCGTCGAGCGTGGGGACGGTCACCGTGCAGCCACACAGCGCCTGGGGACATTGGGGACATGATGGGGACAGGTGAGGGACATGTCAGGGACATGGGGACACGGGGACATGTCAGGGACATGGGGACATTGGGGATATTCCATGTCCTGGAACACCATGGGCATGGAGCGGCCGTCGAGCGTGGGGACGGTCACCGTGCAGCCACACAGCGCCTGGGGACATTGGGGACATGATGGGGACAGGTGAGGGACATGTCAGGGACATGGGGACACGGGGACACGTCAGGGACATGGGGACATTGGGGATATTCCATGTCCTGGAACACCATGGGCATGGAGCGGCCGTCGAGCGTGGGGACGGTCACCGTGCAGCCACACAGCGCCTGGGGACATTGGGGACACGTCAGGGACATGGGGACACACCAGGGACATGTTAGGGACATGGGGACACGGGGACACGGGGACATGTCAGTGACATGGGGACATTGGGGACATTCCATGTCCTGGAACACCATGGGCATGGAGCGGCCGTCGAGCGTGGGGACGGTCACCGTGCAGCCACACAGAGCCTGGGGACACATTGGGGACAGGTTAGTGACAGAGGGACAGATCAGTGACACAGGGACAGAGGGACATGGGGACATTCCGTGTCCTGGAACACCATGGGCATGGAGCGGCCGTCAAGGGTGGGGACGGTCACCGTGCAGCCACACAGAGCCTGGGGACACACTGGGGACACATCAGGGACACAGGGACAGGTCGGGGACACAGGAACACGAGGACAAGGGACACGATGGACAGGTCAAGGAGAGGTCAGTGTTAGGGGACACAGGGACAGGTCAGGGACGGGGGACACGGGGACACAGGGGACACGGGGACAGGTCACCGACAGGGGACAGGGGGCACACAGGGGACAGGTCACCGACAGGGGACACAGGTGGACATGTCAGCGCTGGACCAAGGGACATCCCCAGCATGGCCCCAGAATGACCACCAGAGTGACCCCAGAGTGACCCAGAGTGACCCCAGAGTGACCCAGAGTGACCCCTTGGCCATCCTATCATGTCCTGCCACTACTCAGAGTGACCTCTGGAGTGACCTCCCCCAGAGTGACCCCTTGGCCATCCATCGTGTCCTGCCACCGCCCCGAGTGACCACCCATCGTGTCCCCCCACCCAAGCTGACCCACCTGCGATGTCCCCACCTGGTGTCCCCACCAAGACCAGCCCACCCCGGTGTCCCCAGGGCCACCAACCCAACCCCGATGTCCCCATGGCCACCAACACAACCCTGACGTCCCCACTGCCACCCAGACCAGCCCTGATGTCCCCACCAGCACCAAAGACAGCCCCCCAGTGTCCCCACTGTCACCAACCCAACCCCAATGTCCCCACTGAGACCACCCCAGCCCCAAGGTCTCCACCACCACCAAGACCAACCAACCTCCAACGTCTCCACCAACAGCCCAACCCCAATGTCCCCAACACTACCCAGACCAGCCCTGATGTCCCCATGGTCACCAACCCAACCCCATGTTCCCACTGCCATCCACCCCCTGATGTCCCCACTGTCACCCATACCAATGTCCCCACCAAGACCAAGCCACCCTCAGTGTCCTCACCACCACCCACCCACCCCTTGATGTCCCCAAGACCACCCCACCTCCAACGTCCCCCCCAAGATCAACCTATCTCTGATGTCCCCACCACAGCCAACCTCTCATGTCCCCACCAAGACCAGCCCCTGATGTCCTAAACAAGACCAAGCCATCCTCAATGTCCCCACTGTCACCCATCTCCAACATCCCCACCAAGCCCAGCCACCCCCCGATGTCCCCACCAAGACCAACCCATCTCCAATGTCCTCACCATCACCCACTCCTTGATGTCCCCAAGCCCACCCACCCCTCGACATCCCCACCAAGCCCACCCACCAAGCCCTGATGTCCCCACCAAGCCCACCTCATCTCCAACATTCCCATCAACACCAACCCCTGATGTTCCCATCAAGCCCACCCACCCTTGATGTCCCCAAGCCCACCCACCCCTTAACATCCCCACCAAGCCCACCCACCCCCTGATGTCCCCACCAAGACCAAACCATCTCCAATATCCCCACCAAGACCAACCCCTGATGTTGGGGGTTGGTCCCATCAAGCCCACCCACCCTTGATGTCCCCAAGCCCACCCACCCCCTGACTTCCCCACCAAGACCAAACCATCTCCAACGTCCCCACCAATCCCACACACCCTTGATGTCCCATCAAGCCCACCCACCCTTGATGTCCCCAAGCCCACCCACCCCCTGACTTCCCCACCAAGACCAAACCATCTCCAACGTCCCCACCAATCCCACACACCCATCTCCTGATGTCCCCCACCAAGCCCACTCACCCTCATGTCCTCACCAAGACCACCCCATCCTCAACGACCCCACCGCCACCAACCACCCCATGTCCTCACCACCACCCATCCTTTGATGCTCCCACCAAGCCCACCCACCCCTTGATGTCCCCAAGCCCACCCCATCTCCAAAATTCTCACCAAGCTTGATGTCCCCACCAATATCAACCCATCTCCAACATTCCTACCAACACCTTGATGTCCCCACCAATATCAACCCATCTCCGACATCCCCACCAAGCCCACCCACCCTTGATGTCCCCACCAAGACCAAACCATCTCCAACATCTCCACAAAGACCACTCCATCTCCAACGTTCCCACCAAGACCAACCCCTGACATCCCCACAAAGACCACCCCATCTCCAACATCTCCACCAAGCCCACCAACCCCTTGACATTCCCTCCAAGCCCACCCAGCCCTCATGTCCCCACTGCCACCCCATCTCCAACGTCCACACCAAGCCTATCTAGCCTTGATGTCCCCAAGCCCACCCACCCCTGGCATTCTCCCCAGTCTCACCCCTTGATGTCCCCGAGCCCACCCAACCCCAGTGTCCCCACCTGACATCTCCACCACCATCCACCACCCCATGTCTTCACCGCCATCCACCCCTTGATGTCCCCAAGCCCACCCCATCTCCAACATCCCCACCAAGCCCACCCCATCTCCAAGGTCCCCCCAAGACCAACCCACCCCTGCTGTCTCCACCAAGACCAACCCCTGATGTCCCCACCAAGCCCATCCACCCACCCACCTCCTGATGTCCTCACCAAGCCCACTCAGCCCTGACGTCCCCACCAAGACCACCCCATCTCCAATGTCCCCACTGCAACCCACCCCTGTTGTCCCCACCAAGACCACCCCATCTCCAACGTCCCCACCAAGCTCACCAAACCCACCCAATCCTTAATGTCCCCAAGACCACCCATCCAGCCCTTGACGTCCCCACCAATCCTACCCACCCCTTGATGTCCTCACCAATCCCACCCATCCCTTGATGTCCTCACCAATCCCACCCACCCCTTGATGTCCTCACCAAGCCCACCCTGATGTCCCCACCAATCCCACCCACCCCTTGATGTCCTCACCAATCCCACCCAACCCTTGATGTCCTCACCAATCCTACCCAACCCTTGATGTCCTCCCCAAGCCCACCCAACCCTTGATGTCCTCACCAAGCCCACCCTGATGTCCCCACCAATCCCACCCACCCCTTGATGTCCTCACCGATCCCACCCACCCCTTGATGTCCTCACCAATCCCACCCTGATGTCCCCGATCCCACTCCGATGTCCCCGATCCCACCCCAGTGTCCCCAACGCCACCCCGATGTCCCCACCGACCTCGCGCAGGCTGATCCTGGCCGGGTAGACGATGTCGGAGCCGTCGCGCCGGAACACGTCGTGCGGCTTGTCCTTGAGCACGAACACCACGTCGGCCGGGATGTTGTTGGGCGTCTGGTCGCCCTCCTTGGGGAAGGTGATCTTGGTGCCCTCCTTCCAGCCCTTCTTCACCTCGATGGTCAGGATCTTGTCCTCGTTCCTCACCGTCTTCCCGTCGGGGCCCAGCCGCTTGTGGGAGATCTTCATCTTCTTGGTGCAGCCGCTGTAGATCTCCTCCAGCGACACGCGCAGCTCGTGCAGCACGGGCGGGTCCTGCTTGCGGCCCTCGCCCGCCCGGCCCCGCGGGAAGCTGACGCTGCCGAAGCCCCCCACGTGGAAGGTGTTGAAGCCTTCGTCGCCGTCCTCATCGTCGCCGTTGCGCTGCACGAAGAAGGTGTCGAAGGGGTTGCGCCCGTCGAAGAACTCGGCGAACATGGCGTGCGGGTCGCCGCGGAACGTGTAGGTGAAGGTGGGCCCGTTGGAGCCCCCCGGCCCGGGCGTGGGGGCTCCCCCTTTCAGCCCTGGCGGATTTTTGGGGGGGGTTTGTGGGAGGAAGGCGCCCATCAGCCCCTCCCCGGCCGTGGGGAGAGCCGCGGGCAGGGCAGGGCGTGGGGCGCGGGGGAACCGCGGCGGAACCGGTTCTGCCCGTGGCGCCGACGCCGCTGACGGTCCCGGACGGGCCCCAACAGGCCCAGCCGGCTCCGGCGGGCACCCCCGGCACCGCCCCGGCGCCCCCGCGGCCTCCCCCGGGCGCTGCGGGACACGCGGGGTGCCCGGCGCGGAGCCCCCGGCCCGTGCGTGCCCCTCTGGTGCCACCGGAGCCCTGAGCCCGCCCTGCTGTGTGTGCCCCCACCCCAAACCTGATCCTGGCACTGGCACCTGGCACGGGCACGTGTCCTCAACCCCTGTCCCTGTCACCTGGCCCTGTCACCCTGTCCCTGTTACCTGTCCCCTCACCTGCCCCCCTCACCTGTCCTTATCCCCCTGTCCCCCTCATCTGTCCCTGTCACCTGGCCCTCTCACCTGTCCTCACCCCCTGGCCCCCTCACCTGTCCCTGTCACCTGCCCCCCTTGCCTGTCCCCCTCACCTTTCCCTGCCGCCTGTCCCCACCCCGTCACCTGCCTGGCTGTCACCCCCAAGCCCCCCACCCCTCACTCTCATCCCCAATGTCCCCCCACCCTCACCCCCTCATTGCCCCTCCTGTGCCCCCTAGACCCCCTCCCCACCTACCCCCTCACCCCTTCCTTGCCCCCCAAACCCCCTCCTCACCTACCCCCAGACCCTCTGACCTCCTCATTCCCCCTCCAGTGCCCCCCGGACCCCCTCCCCACCTGCCCCTAACCCCTTCCCCACCTACCCCCGACCCTCTGACCCTCTCACTTCCCCTCTTGTACCTCCCAGACCCTCTCCCCATCTACCCCCGACCCCTTCCCGTGCCCCCCAAACCCCTTCCCCACCTACCCCCGACCCTCTGACCCTCTCACTTCCCCTCCCGTGCCCCCCAGACCCTCTCCCCATCTAGCCCCGACCCTTTCCTGTGCCCCCCAGACCCCCTCCCCACCTAACCCTGGACCCCCAACCCCTGTCCCCACCAACCCCCGACCCTTTCCTGTGCCCCCCAGACCCCCTCCTCACCTAACCCTGAACCCCCTGACCCCCTGATTGCCCCTCTTGTACCTCCCAGACCCCCTCCCCACCTACCCCTGACCCCTTCCCCACCTACCCCCTGACCCCCTCCCCACCTAACCCTGGACCCCCAACCCCTGTCCCCACCTACCCCCGACCCCTTCCCGCGCCCCCCAACCCCCTGCCCGTCCCCCAGGTGCCGCCGCTCACCCTCCTCCCCGTACTTGTCGAAGATCTCCCGTTTTTTGGGGTCGCTGAGCACGTCGTAGGCCTCGGCCACCTCCTTGAAGCGCTGCTCGGCGCCCGGTGACCGGTCCTTGTCCGGGTGGCAGCGCAGCGCCTGGCGCCGGTACGCGCGGCGGATGTCGGCGGCCGAGGCGCCCCGCGACAGCCCCAGCGTGCGGTAATAGTCCTTGCCCATGGCCGCCCGCGCTGCTCTGGCACCGGGCACCGGCGGCGATCCGCGGGACGGGCACGGGGAGGGAGCCCCGAGGGGCGGGGAGCGGGGGACGGGACGGGGAGGGACCGGGAATGGGGAGAGGGAGGGATGGGGAGGGACCGGAGAGGGACTGGGATGGGGAGGGAGGGACCGGGGATGGAGCGGGGAGGGACCGGGAATGGATGGGGAGGAATGGGGAGGGACCGGAGAGGGACCGGGATGGGGAGGGAGGGACCGGGAGGGATGGGGAGGGACCGGGAATGGATGGGGAAGAATGGGGAGGGACCGGAGAGGGACCGGGATGGGGAGGGAGGGACCGGGAGGGATGGGGAGGGACCGGGAATGGATGGGGAAGAATGGGGAGGGACCGGAGAGGGACCGGGATGGGGAGGGAGGGACCGGGAGGGATGGGGAGGGACGGGGAAGGGACCGGGATGGGGAGGGAGGGATGGGGAGGGATGGGGAGGGACCGGGAATGGATGGGGAGGGATGGGGAGGGACCGGAGAGGGACTGGGATCAGGAGGGAGGGACCGGGAGGGATGGGGAGGGAGGGATGGGAATCGATGGGGATCGATGGGGAAGGAATGGGATGGGGAGGGAAGGACGGGGGAGGGACCGGAGAGGGACCGGAGAGGGACTGGGATGGGGAGGGACCGGAGAGGGACGGGGATGGAGCGGGGAGGGACCGGGAGGGACCGGAGAGGGACTGGGATGGGGAGGGACCGGGATGGAGAGGGATGAGGATGGAGCGGGGAGGGACCGGGGAGGGACCGAGGAATCGATGGGGAAGGACCGAGGAGGGGCTGGGGATGGATGGGGTTACACCGGGGAGGGACCGAGGGAGGGACCAGGGAGAGACCAGGGAAAGACCAGGGATGGATGGGGATGGAGCGGGGAGGGACCGGGGATGGAGAAGGGACGGACCGGAGAGGGACCAGGGATGGAGCGGGATAGAGTGGTGAGATGAATGGACCGGGGAAGGAGCGGGGAGGGAGCGGGGAATGGATGGGGAGAGGGATGGGGATAGAGCGAGGAGGGACCGGGGAGGGACCGGGAGGGATGGACAGGGACCGGGGATGGACCGAGAGAGATGGAGATGGAGCAGGGAGGGACCGGGGAGGAACCGGGAGGGATGGGGATGGAGCAGGGAGGGACCGGGGAGAGACTGGGATGGGGAGGGAGGGACCGGGGATGGAGCGGAGAGGGATGGGGAGGGACCGGGAGGGATGGGGATGGGGAAAGGACTGGACCGGGGAGGGACCGGGGAGGGTCGGGGATGGAGCGGAGACTGGGAATAGAGCGGGGATGGACCGGAGGAGGGACCGGGGAAGGAGCAGGGAAGGATCGGGGATGGATAAGGAGAGGGAACGACCGGGGAGGGACCGGGGATGGATGGCGATGGAGCGGGGAGGGACCGGGGATAGACCGGGGAGGGACCGGGGATGGATGGCGATGGAGCGGGGAGGGACCGGGGATAGAGCGGGGAGGGACCGGGGATGGATGGAGATGGAGCGGGGAGAGACCGGGGATAGAGCGGGGAGGGACCGGGGATGGATGGCGATGGAGCGGGGAGAGACCGGGGATAGACCGGGGAGGGACCGGGGATGGATGGAGATGGAGCGGGGAGGGACCGGGGATAGACCGGGGAGGGACCGGGGATGGATGGAGATGGAGCGGGGAGAGACCGGGGAGGAAACGGGGGAGAGACCGGAGATAGACCGAGGGATGGAGGGGGAGAGGGCTGGACCGGGGAGGGACCGGGGAGGGACCGAGGAGGAATGGGGAAAGACCGGGGATGGACCGAGGGATGGAGGGGGAAAGGGCTGGACAGGGGATGGACCGGGGATGGAGCGGGATTGGATTGGGATGGAGCGGGAAGGGACCGGGGATGGAGAGAGGATGGAGCAGGGAGAGGAATGGACCGGGGGAGGGACCGGAGAGGAAAGGAGGGAGGGATGGGGATGGAGAGGGGATGGAGCGGGGCTGGACCGGAGGAGGAACCGGGAGAGGAGCGGGGAGGGGACGAGGAGGGGTCGGGAAAGGGCCGGGAGAGGGAGCGGGGACAGATGGGCGGAGGAACCGGGAGAGGAACGGGACAGGAGCCGGGAGGGGATCGGGAAGGAGCGAGGGAGAGGGGACGGGGAGGGACCGGGGGAGAACGGGGAAGAACGGGGATGGGAACAGGGATGGGAAAAGGGATGGGAACGGGATGGGAATGGGGATGGGAACGGGATGGGAACGGGATGGGAACGGGGATGGGAACGGGGATGGGAACGGGGATGGGAACGGGATGGGAACGGGATGGGAATGGGGATGGGAACGGGATGGGAATGGGGATGGGAGCGGGATGGGAACGGGGATGGGAACGGGGATGGGAACGGGATGGGAACGGGATGGGGACGGGATGGGAACGGGGATGGGAACGGGGGGAGTGGGATGGGAACGGGATGGGAACGGGATGGGGACAGGGATGGGAATGGGGATGGGAACGGGGATGGGAACGGGATGGGAACGGGATGGGAATGGGGATGGGAACGGGGATGGGAACGGGATGGGAACGGGATGGGAACGGGATGGGAATGGGGATGGGAGCGGGATGGGAACGGGGATGGGAACGGGGATGGGAACGGGATGGGAACGGGATGGGGACGGGATGGGAACGGGGATGGGAACGGGGGGAGTGGGATGGGAACGGGATGGGAACGGGATGGGGACAGGGATGGGAATGGGGATGGGAACGGGGATGGGAACGGGATGGGAACGGGATGGGAACGGGGATGGGAACGGGGATGGGAACGGGATGGGAACGGGATTGGGAACGGGATGGGAACGGGATGGGAACGGGGATGGGAACGGGATGGGGACGGGATGGGAACGGGGATGGGAACGGGGGGAGTGGGATGGGAACGGGATGGGAACGGGATGGGGACAGGGATGGGAATGGGGATGGGAACGGGGATGGGAACGGGATGGGAACGGGGATGGGAATGGGGATGGGAATGGGGATGGGAACGGGATGGGAACGGGGATGGGAACGGGATGGGAACGGGATGGGAACGGGATGGGAACCGGGGATGAGTGGGGATGGGATTGGAGATGAAACGGGATGGGAACCGGGGGCGAGTGGGGATGGGATCGGGGAGGAACCAGGGAGGGAAACGGGGATGGAAACGGGGAGGAACCGGGAAGGGAACGGGGATGGACCGGGGAAGCACCAGGGATAGACCGGGATGGAAACGGGGAGGAAGCGGGAAAGTAACGGGGACGGAGCAGGGGAAGGAGGGGCCCGAGGCTCGCCAGGGCTGTCGCTGTCACCTCAGGGACACCCGGCCCTGTCACTGCACGGGGACACCTCAGGGACACAGTGACACCCAGCCCTGTCACTGCACGGTGACACCGTGAGGACACCGCGGGAACACCTCAGTGACACCTCAGTGACACCCGGGCCTGTCACTGCATGTGACACCATGGGGACACCATGGGGACACCATGGGGACACCTCAGGGACACCCGGGCCTGTCACTGCATGGGGACACCTCAGGGACACAGTGACACCCAGCCCTGTCACTGCACGGTGACACCGTGAGGACACCGCGGGGACACCTCAGTGACACCTCAGTGACACCCGGGCCTGTCACTGCATGTGACACCATGGGGACACCATGGGGACACCTCAGTGACACCTCAGTGACACCCGGGCCTGTCACTGCACGGTGACACCGCGAGGACACCGCGGGGACACCTCAGTGACACCTCAGGGACACCTCAGGGACACCTCAGGGACACCCGGGCCTGTCACTGCATGGTGACACCATGGGGACACCACCGGAGCTGGTGACACCGGGACACGGGACATGGGGACAATGGGGGACACGGGACATGGGGACACGGGACGTGGGGACAGGAGGATGTGGGGACAGGAGGACGTGGGGACAGGAGGACGTGGGGACATGGGGGAACAGGACATGGGGACACAGGGGGACATGGGGACAGTGGGACAGGGAGGACAAGGGAATGGGGACATGAGGACACTGGGACATGGGGACATGGGGACATGGGGGGACACAGGGACAGGGGGACGTGGGGGGACAGGGACATGAGACATGGGGACAGGCAGGACATGGGGACAGGTGGCCAAGGTGACACAGTGAAACAGGACATGGGGACATGGGGACACACGGGGGGACATGGGGACACGGGGACACAGGACATGGGGGGACATGGGGGGACATGGGAACAGGGAGGACAAGGAATTGGGGACATGAGGACACCGGGACATGGGGTCATGGGGACATGGGACATGGGGACATGGGGGGACACAGGGACATGGGACATGGGGACAGGCAGGACATGGGGACAGGTGGCCAAGGTGACACAGTGAAACAGGACATGGGGACACGGGGGGACACGGGGGGACATGGGGACACAGGGATATGGGGCATGGGGACAGGCAGGACATGGGGACATGGGACAGAGGGGGACAAGGAGACACAGGACATGGGGACACGAGGACATGGGGACACGGGGACACACGACATGGGGACAGGCAGGACATGGGGACACTGAGGACAGAGGGGACATGGGGACACAGGGACATGGGGACACAGGGACAGGGAGGGACATGGGGACACAGGGACACAGCGGGACATGGGGACACAGGGACGAAAGACAGAGGGGACATGGGACACAGCTATTGGACACCTGGGGACAGGTGGCCAAGGGGACAGGGAGGACACAGGACATGGGGACACGGGGGGACAAGGGGACACAGGACGTGGGGGACATGTGACACGGGGGGACAGGACATGGGGACAGGGAGGAGAGAGGGACACAGGACATGGGGACATGGGGGACATGGGGACATGGGGGGACACAGGGACAGGGGGACGTGGGGGGGGACACGGACACGAGACATGGGGACAGGCAGGACATGGGGACAGGTGGCCAAGGTGACGCAGTGAAACAGGACATGGGGACAGGGAGGACAAGAGGACACAGGGACACAGGACATGGGGACATTGAGGACAGATGGGACATGGGCACATAGGACATGGGGACATGGGGATAGGGAGGACAAGGAGACACAGGGCATGGGGACACCAGGGCATGGGGACACCAGGACATGGGGACACCAGGACATGGGGACACAGGGACAAAAGACAGAGGGGACACGGGGACACGGCTATTGGAGACCTGGGGACAGGTGGCCAAGGGGACATGGGGACACAGAGAGGGACAAGCCCCCCCCACCCCATTGTCCCCATGGCCAGAATGACCAGGAGTCCCCATGGCCTCACAGTGTCCCAAAGTGTCCCCAAAGTGTCCCCAAGTGTCCCCAAGTGTCCCCATGGTCCCACAGTGCCTGTGTCCCAATGTGTCCCCTGTGTCCCACAGTGTCCCCAGGGTGTCCTCTCGGTGTCCCCATCCCCACGGTGTCCCCACAATGTCCTCATCCTCACAGTGTCCCCAAAGTGTCCCCAAGTGTCCTCATGGCCCCACAGCCGCTGTGTCCAAATGTCCCCAAGTGTCCCCAAATGTCCCCAAGTGTCCCTAAGCCCTGTCACCCCCCTGGGCCTGTGGGGCCTGACCTGCCCCGCCCTGATCTGTGTCCCCACAGTGTCCCCATCCCCACGGTGTCCCCAAAGTGTCACCACAGTGTCCCAAAGTGTCCCCAAGTGTCCCCATGGCCCCACAGTCCATGTGTCCCTAAGTGTCCCCAAGTGTCCCCATGGCCCCAATGTCCCTGTGTCCCAAAGTGTCCCACAGTCTCCCCACAGTGTCCCCAAAGTGTCCCCAAGTGTCCCAAAGTGTGCCCATGGCCCCACAGTCCGAAAGTGCCCCAAAGTGCCCCGAAGTGTCCCCAAGGTGTCCCCATGGTGTCCTCACGGTGTCTCCATGGGTCCCCTCGGTGTCCCCAGAGTGTCACGACAGTGTCCCCACAGTGCCCCCATCCTCACAGTGTCTCCAGTGTCCCCAAGGCCCCACAGTCCCAATCTCCCAAAGTGTCCCAAAGTGCCCCAAGGTGTCCCCACAGTGTCCCCAGGGTGTCCCTGTGGTGTCCCCCGGGTGTCCCCATCCCCACAGTGTCCCCATCTGCCTCCATGGTGTCCCCACAGTGTCCCCAGGACCCCCCAGCCTGCCAGGACCGCCCCAGCCCCCCGTGACCCCCAGGACCCCCCAAACCCCTGGGACCCCCCAATCCCCACCTTCCCCCAGTCCCCTGTGACCCCTCCATTCCCCATGCCCCCCCGGACTCCCCAAATTCCTCAGACCCCCCCCTCAAACCCCACAGCCCCCCAGTCCCTGTGACCCCTCCCCGTCCTCATGACCCCCCCCACCCCAAAACCTCCCATGACCCCCCAGACCCTCCAAACCCCCCATGACCCCCCCACCTCTCAAACCCCCCATGACCCCCCAAAGCCCCCAGCCCCCCTTTGACCCCCGCACCCCCAGACCCCCCATGACCCCTTTGACCCCCCAAACCCCCCATGACTCCTCAGACCCCCGCCATGACCCCCCAAACCCCCCAGCCCCCCTTTGACCCCCCCACCCCCAGACCCCTTTAGACCCGCCCAGGGCCCACGCGGTGCTTGCCCCGCCCCTTCCGCGAGCCCATTGGCTGATCTGACCATCACTCCACCCTCCGCCCCGCCTCCGCCGGGCTCCCATTGGCCGCCCTGCCCGTCACTCCATGCCCCGCCCCCGCCTCCCATTGGCAGATTCCCCCTCGGGCGTTCGCGTTGCCCCGGCAACCAGCGCGGCGGGAAAGGGGCGAGCGCGCGGGCGGGGCCGCCGCCTTCCGATTGGCCGCGCCTAGCCACGCGCGCGGCGCCGATTGGCCGAGCCGCAAGCCCCGCCCCTCGGCGGGCCTGAGGGGGCGGGTCACGTGGGGGCGGCGGGGGCGGCGGGAGCGCCGGAGCGGAGCGGCCATGAAGCACTACGAGGTGAGGCGGCCGCGCTGTCCGCGGCCCGGGCCGGACACCGACACCGGGGCGGCCCCGACCCTCCGGCGCCGCCGGTCCCGCACGGCGCCATCGCGGCGGCCCCGCGGAACGCGCGCGTTCCGCCCCGGGGCAACCGGGACGCGCTGTGCGCATGCGCGGTGGAGTTGCGATGTGCGCGTGCGCGTCAGGGAGCGACAGGTGTGGGTGGCGGGGCGGAGCTTAGGGCGATGAAGGGGCGTGGCCTCAATGAAAAGGGCGTGGTCTCATGGAAAGGGGCGGGGCTTGGGGTCCCGGTGCGTTCGGTGGTCCCGGAAGGTCCTGGAGGGTCCCGGAGGGTCCCGAAAGGTCTCGGAGGGTCCCAGGAGGGCCCCGCGGTCGCAATAGGGCCCTGAGGGACCGCGGTGAGCCCGGGAGGGCCCCGGTGTCACCCCCTGAGCGCCATTGGCGCTGTCACCGTCACTGTCACCGTGCCCGGGGTGGCTCCAAGGCACGGCCCCGGTGGCCCACGGAGCTGTCACTGTCACCTCTCCCCCGTGGCAGTGTCACCTCCCCAGTGTCACCCCCCCATATCACTGTCACCTCTCCCCCGTGGCAGTGTCACCTCCCCAGTGTCACCCCCCCATATCACTGTCATCTCACCCTCGTGACAGTGTCACCTCCCCAGTGTCACCCCCCCATATCACTGTCACCTCTCCCCCGTGGCAGTGTCACCCTCCCCAGTGTCACCTCCCTGCCATGGTGGTGTCACTTCCCCAGAGCCACCTCCAGGCCACCACGGGGTCACATTGAGGGCCACCTCCAAATCCACCCCAGGGCCACCACGTGGCCACCAGAGAGCCACCACGAGGCCACCTCCAGGGCCACCATGGAGCCACCTCTAGGGCCACCCCTGTGCCACCTCCAGGGCCACCCCTGTCCACTCCAGAGCCACCTCCAGGGCCACCTCCTGGACCACCACATGGCCACCATGAGACCACCATGGGGCCACCTCCAGGGCCACCCCTGAGCCACCCCCACAGCCACCAGGTGCCACCTCCAGGGCCACATCCAGGGCCACCTCTGTTCACCCCAGTCACCTCCAGGGCCACCTCTAAGGCCACCAAGAGGCCACCCCAGGGCCACCTCCAAGGCCACCCCTGTCCACTCCAGAGTCACCTTCAGGGCCACCAGGTGCCACCTCCAGATCCACCTCTTGGGCCACCCCAGGGCCACCTCCTGGACCACCCCTGTCCACTCCAGGGCCACCTCTAAGGCCACCAAGGGGCCACCACGGGGCCACCTCCAGGGCCACTCCTGAGCCACCTCCACAGCCACCAGGTGCCACCTCTAGGGCCACATCCAGGGCCACCTCTGTCCACTCCCACACCACATCCAGGGCCACCCCAGGGCCACCCCCAGGCCACCTCCAGGGCCACCTCTAAGGCCACCAAGAGGCCACCCCAGAGCCACCCCCGGGCCACCTCCAGGGCCACTTCCAAGGCCACCACAGGGTCATCCCGGGGCCACCTCCGGAGCCACCTCCAGGGCCACCCCTGAGCCACCTCCACGGCCACCAGGGGCCACATCCAGATCCACCTCCACGGCCACCTCGAGGGCCACCACGGGGCCACTCCAGGGCCATCTCCAGGGCCACCAGGTGCCACCTTCAGGGCCACTCCAGGGCCACCACTGGAGCCACCACGAGGCCACTATGTGGCCATCTTGCAGGCCACCTCTGTCCACTCCCGAGCCACCTCCAGGGCCACCAGGTGCCACCTCCGGGGCCATCCCCAGGGCCACCAGGTGCCACCTCCAGGGCCACCCCCAGGGCCACCAGGTGCCACCTCCAGGTGCCGCCTCCAGGGCCACCAGGTGCCACCATGAGGCCACCTCCAGGGTCACCCCCGAGCTACCACATGGCCACCTATGGTGCCACCTCCAGGGCCACCTCGAGGGCCACCGGGGGCCACCAAATGCCACCACGGGGGGGGGGGTTGGGTGTGTTTATATTTAGCGCCGCGCGGGGCCGGTCGGTGTCGGGTGTCGGTGGCCATGGAGGCGGCGGTGTCGCCGCGCGGGGGTGGCCCGGGGGTGGCCCCGGTGCCGGGGGTGGCCGCGGGGGTGGCCCCGGTGCCGGTGGTGGCACCGGGGGTGGCCGGGCTGTGGCCCCCGGTGGCCCCTCCCGGGAGGCGGCCCCGGAAAGCGGCGCTGCTCTTCTTCGAGGTGGAGATCCTGGACGCCAGGACCAGGGACAAGCTGTGCTTCCTGGACAAGGTAGGGGACATGGGGGACAGCTGGGGACAGCTGGGGACATGGGGGGACATGGGGGGACATGGGGACCAGGGACAAGCTGTGCTTCCTGGACAAGGTAGGGGACATGGGGGACAGCTGGGGACATGGGGACATGGGGGGACATGGGGACCAGGGACAAGCTGTGCTTCCTGGACAAGGTAGGGGACATGGGGGACAGCTGGGGACATGGGGACATGGGGGGACATGGGGGGACATGGGGACCAGGGACAAACTGTGCTTCCTGGACAAGGTAGGGGACATGGGGGACAGCTGGGGACATGGGGACATAGGGGGACATGGGGACCAGGGACAAGCTGTGCTTCCTGGACAAGGTAGGGGACATGGGGGACAGCTGGGGACATGGGGACATGGGGGGACATGGGGACACATTGGGACATGGGGGGACATGGGGGGATAGGGGGACATGGAGGGATAAGGGGACATGGGGGGACATGGGACAAACTGTGCTTCCTCGACAAGGTAGGGGACACGGGGACATTGGGGACAGCTGGGGGGATATGGGGGGACAAGGGGACCAGGGACAAGCTGTGCTTCCTGGACAAGGTAGGGGGACATGGGGACAGGGGGGGACAGCTGGGGACAGGGGGGGACAAGGGGACATGGGGGGACACGAGGACACCTGGACATGGAGGGACTAAGGGACATGGGGGGACAGCAGGGGACAGGGGGACAGAGGGGGGGACAAGGGGACATGGGGGGGACATGGGGACACAGGGGGACATGGGGACAGGAGGGACATGGGGACACGGGGGGGACATGGAGGGACTAAGGGACATGGGGACAGGAGGGCCACGGAGGGACATGGGGACATAGGGGAGCATGGGGGCATGGGGATAGGGGGGGACACGAGGGGACATGGGGGGACACGGGGACAGCAGGGGGGACGTGAGGACGTGGAGGGACAGGGGGACAACAAGAGGGGATGGGGGGACAGGGGGACATGGGGGACATGAGGGGGCAGGGGGACATGGGGGGACTGAGGGACATAGGGGGGACATGGGGGCGACACAGGGACATGGGGACACGGGGACGTGAGGGGGGACATGGGGACATAAGGGAACAGGGGGATTCACGGGGGGACATGGGGACATGAGGACACGGAGGGACATGGGGACAGCATGGTGAGACACGGGGACACGGAGACTGCACAGGGGGACAGGGGGACATGGGGGGACAGGGGGACACAGGATGGGAGGGCAACGTGGGGACACAGGGACACGGGGTGACATGGGGAAATGGGGACATGGGGGGACATGGGGACACAGGGTGACAGGAGGACATGGGGACACAGCAGGGGACATGGGGGGGATTGGGGGACATGCAGACATGGAAGGACAGGGGGACATGGGGGGACAGGGGGACACATGGGGACACGGGGACATGGGGAGACATGGGGACACAGGGACAGCATGGGGGACATGGGGGGACATGGGGGCTAAGGGACATGGGGGGACACAGGGGGACGGGGCGGGGACAGAGGGACACGGGGGGACACAGGGACATAGGTGGCCATGGGAGAGACACGGGACACAGGGTGACATGGGGACAGCACACAGGGGGACATAGGGACAGCACACAGGGGGACACGGGGACAGCCTGGGAGGGGACAGGGGGACACGGGGACAGTGCCAGAAGGGGACAGGGGTGGCCTGGTGCTGTCCCTGTCCCCTGAGTGCCACCGCTGTCCCCAGGTGGAGCCTGGGAGGGGACACGGGGACAGCCCTGAGGGGACAGGGGTGGCCCGGGAGGGGACAGGGGTGGCTCTGCGCTGTCCCCATGTCCCCTGAGTGCCATCGCTGTCCCCAGGTGGAGCCTCAGGCCACGGTGGCCGACATCAAAAACCTGTTCAGCAAGAGCCGTGAGTGGGGACAGGGACAGGGACAGGGAGGGGGGACATGGGGGGACAGGGATGGGGGACAGGGAGGGGACAGGGGGACAGGGATGGGGGACATGGGGGGACAGGGGGACATGGGGGGACAGGGATGGGGGACAGGGAGGGGACAGGGGGACATAGGGACATGGGACTGGGAAAGGGATGGGGATAGGGGACATGGGGACAGGGAGGGGAACAGGGACAGGGGACAGGGATGGGGGACACGGCATAGGGAGAGGAAGGGCACATGGGGACAGGGAGACAGAGATATGGGGACAGGGACAGGGATGGGGGACAGGGATGGGGGGCAGGGGGACATGGGGACAGGGGGGACATGGGGATGGGGGGGCAGGGGACGGGGACGGGGACAGGGAGGGGACAGGGGGACATGGGGACAGGGGACAGGGAGGGGACAGGGGGACAGGGATGGGGACAGGGACAGGGATGGGGAAGGGACAGGGACCAAGGGGATGGGGACAGGGAGGGGACAGGGACAGGGATGGGGATGGGGGACAGGGACAGGGACAGGGATGGGGATAGGGGACATGGGGACAGGGAGGGGCCAGGGGGACAGAGGAGACAGGGGATAGGGGACAGGGATGGGGATGGGGACAGAGAGGACAGGGAGGGGACAGGGATGGGGACATGGGGGACATGGGGAGAGGGACAGGGAAGGGGACAGGGATGGAGAGGGGGACAGGGGACAGGGAAGTGACAGGGATGGGGCACATGGGGACAGGGAGGGGACAGGGGAAATGTGGCAGGGAAGGGGACAGGGAGGGAACATGGGGACAGGGGGACAGAGGGGACAGGGATGGGGACATGGGGACAGGGGGACAGAGGGTACAGGGATGGGGACATGGGCACAGGGGACCAAGGGGATGAGGACAGGGGACATAGGGACAGAGATATGGGGACAGGGACAGGGGGACAGGGACAGGGAAGGGACAGGCAGAGGGGACAGGGATGGGGACCCTCAGTGTGCCTGGGACAGGTCACTGAGCCATGGGGACGTGTCACCGTGTCACCGGGCCCTGGGGGCTTCCTTGTCTCTGTCCCCATGGGGGCTGTGTCCCCACAGTGCCACCGTCCCTGTCCCCACAGTGCCACCGTCACTGTCCCCACAGTGCCACCCCCACTGTCCCCACAGTGCCACCCGATGTCCCCTGATGCCACTGTCACTCTCCCCATGGTGCCATTGTCCCTGTCCCCTGGTGCCACCATCCCTGTCCCCTTGATGGCCATGTCCCCATGGTGCCACCCCTGCTGTCCCATGGTGCCACTGTCCCTGTCCCCGTGGTGCCACCATCCCTGTCCCCATGGTGCCACCGTACCTGTCCCCTGGTGCCACCATCCCTTTCCCCTGGTGTCACTGTCCCTGTCCCTGTGTCCCACAGATCCCCAGTGCCACCCCTGCTGTCCCCATGGTGCCACCCCTGCTGTCCCCATGGTATCACTGTCCCTGTCCCCATGGTGCCACTGTCACTGTCCCCATGGTGCCACCGTCCCTGTCCCCCGGTGCCACCCTGTGTCCCTGTGCCCCACAGATCCCCAGTGGTACCCAGCGAGGCAGTCCCTGCGGCTGGACCCCAGTGAGTGACACCGATGTCCCCAATGTCCCCAGGGGTGTCCCCAACTGTCCCCAAGGGTGTCCCCAGGTGTCTCTGGATGTCCCCGGCTGTCCCCAGGGGTCTCCCCAGGTATGCCCCCAGGTGTCCCCAAGGTGTCCCCAGGGATGTCCTCAGGTGTTCCCCAGGTGTCCCCAAGGGTGTCCCCAGAGTGTCTCCGGATGTCCCCAGGGGTGTCCAAGAATGTCCCCAGGTGTCCCCAAGGCGCCCCGGGTGTCCCCCTGATGTCCCCAGCCGTCCCCAGGTACCCTCCAGGTGTGCCCCGGGAATGTCGCAGGTGTCCCTCAGGGATGTCCCCAGGGATGTCCCCAGATGTGCCAGGTGTCCCAAGGTGTCCCCCAGGTGTCACCGGGTACCCCCCAGGTGTGCCCCAGATGTGCCCCAGGTGTGTCCCCAGGTGTGTGCCCAGGTATGTGCCAGGTGTGTGCCAGGTGTGTGCCAGGTGTGTGCCAGGTGTGTGCCAGGTGTCCCCAGGTACGCCTCAGGGATGTGCCGGGTGTGCCAGGTGTGTGCCAGGTGTGCCCACATGTGCCCTGGTGTGTGCCCAGGTACCCCCCCCCAAGGTGTGTGCCACTTGTGCCAGGTGCGTGCCAGGTGTGCCGGGTCTGTGCCAGGTGTGCCCAGGTGTGCCAGGCATGCCCAGGTGTTGCCTTCTGATACAAGGCAGGCGACCTGGTTCAGACGAACAGCACGGCAGCCCTCTCACTAGGGCCACTCGGGCCAATGACACACGCAGACATCAATGTGATGGACGGTCAAAAGGCGTTTATTATCTCGTCTCTTGGGTTTTTATAGTCTAGGGGGTCTCTACGTCAGCATGGGTCTGTCTTTACCTTCTATGGTTAGTAAGAGGTGGACTGTTACTGGGTAGGGGATGGAAAGTTACTGGAATTTGGTTAGGCGGGTTACATTCCTATGTTAGTTTCTTATCTATGGGAGGCAGATGGTCTTATCTAAGGGGATCTGAGGGTCCTGGCTTTCCGTGACATCGCGAGATCTTCCGCGGCGCCTTTCCCTGTCTACCACATCTCCCCCCCCCTTTTCACAAATGAATGAGGTAGTCATGTCTATAGGTACTTAAGTGAGGTATAAGGTTGTAGCTTGACAAGGGAAAAGGGTCTTGGGAGTCCTGAGTTAGCTTTTGTCAGACAAGCTCGGAGGATCTTGTGACTGACGGTGTTCCCTGGTTGAATTCTCTGGTTGAATTCTCTGGTTGATTTCTCTGGTTGATTTCACAGCAATTGTCGTCGGCCTAGGTACAGGATGTTGGTCCGTTCCAGGCGGGTCTGAACGAACGAGACCAGCTTGTTCAGCAGGCATGGTCCGAAGGTGACTGTTAGAAACAGCATGGCCAATGGACCTATCAGGACAGAAATCAGAGTGGTTAGCCAAGGTGATTGATTGAACCAGGACTCGTACCAGCCCTGTTGGGCCTCCCTGTCTTTCTGTCTCTGAGCCAGTCGGTTCCGCAGCTCTGCCATGGAGTCTCTCACGACTCCCGTGTGGTCTGCGTAGAAACAGCACTCCTCTTTCAAGGCGGCGCACAGGCCCCCTTGCTGCATGAACAGGAGGTCCAGGCCTCGCCTGTTCTGCAAGACCACTTCTGAGAGTGAGGAGACCGACTTCTCTAGAAAGGAGATGGATTTCTCGATCCTTTGCAGGTCCTCGTCAATCGTTGCTTGCAGCTGTGACAGTCCTTGGTGCTGGGTCGCTAGGGCTGAGACTCCTGTGGCCGTTCCGGCTGCTCCCAGGCCCAGCAGCATCGCGATAGTTATACCTGTCAATATTTCTCTTTTGTGGATCCGGCCGGGTCCCTCGAGAAGATGGTACATTTCTTCGTCTGAGTGGTACAGGATCCTAGGAACAATCAGAACTTGGACACAGAAGTCGTTAGAGTCATTGAATTTGGGAAGGAACACACAAGGACTCACTCCGGATCGCTGGCAAACCCACATCCCAGATGCGGCTGGGACTGCCCATTTATTGTTTTTCCTGTTAGGCTTGACGATTTTGGTGCAGACGTTGCCTTTCTGCCTAGCTAGGGTTGCATTGCCAAAGCATCTGCCTCGGCCTGTGACTTGACTCAGGGTGATTCCCTTGCGAGGGGTGTCCCATCTGCACTGGTGAGGGGCGTCGGCTGAGGAATAACTGAAGGGAGTGTTTAAGGCGACTCCTTCGAAAAAGGGGGGTTTGACATCGTAACAAAGCCAGCAGGATTCGGTTAGGTTAGGGTTGGATTCATTCAGGGATACAAAGGTAGCTTCTAACATGCGAAGGATTGGGTCTGAGTCTGACTCGGTTAAGCGGCTCATCTGAAAGGTCTCCGCTTGACCGGTCGGGACTTTGCTGACCCCTGTGGGTAAGGTTTTGGGGTAGGTTACGTTTCTCCCTTTCGGCACGCTTTTAATCGCTTTGTTGGGTCCGACTGCTCGGGGTGCTGACGGTTGAAGCCTGATAATTTGCACATTCGCTCTCTCTTTTGACCCTTGAAGGACCACTGTCCACGTTCTGCCTGTGGCCCAGCTAGGGTGATCTGGCTGCAAGACCGTCATGTTGTACTCAGTGCATGCCCGAAATCTAGGGATTTTATGTTGGTTTCGATGGAAGTTCCCGTGAAAGAAGAGGGGTATTTTGCAACCGATGGGTGCCCAGGTGAATTGTAGGAATTTGTCTGGCTCTTGTGGATCCCACCCAGGCCCCGATGGCCTGGCATCTGTAACTATAGTTTCGCAACCCCAGTGCCCACAGTATCCCCACCCTGGGTGATTGCAGTAGCTTTTCCCAGGGTTTGAAGCTGGGCACCAGTAGGATAGGTACGAGTGTTTGACGTGTGGGGAATAGGGGTGTACCTTTGGCTGTCCTGGAAACAGGTCGGTGATGCGGAGCACGAAGGATGGAGTATTCGGTGTGGTGATCTGTCTGAGTGCTTTGCCCCTACTAAGGTGTCGCATGACCCACCTGAAGGGCTGATGGGGGTAGTGATCTGGGCTGGCTTGCCCCCTGGCAACAAGCCCCAACAGCAAAATCACACAGAAACACCCTTGGTGCTTGGGTCTCACCCGTGCGGGTCTCTCGGGTGCTGCTTGGCGGCTTGGTGGTCTGTCGCTTTCGTCTGGAACCGGGAAGTACGCGTCACGAGGGCGTCCCACGAGCAGGTCCTGTAAACAGATACTCGCAATTCTCGTCAGTCTCATTCTGCTCGCCCTGAAGGTCCGGTTTAATCGACTTAAGTGGACACCACCTGATTTTGCCGTCCTTTTTGACCGCTGCGTACCCTCGCCCCGTGAGCATCAGCCTCTAACCCCGTTCCCACTCGCCTAGCTCGTTTCTGATTACCACCTGCGGGCCCTCTTCTAGCGTTCGAGTGACCCAGTGTTTTTGAACGGGACTGTTTGTTTCATCTCCCCTAGGGAATTGATTCAGTGCCAGCAAGGCGGTTGCCAGCATACGTGCCTGATCTCCTGGGGGAATGGCATTGGCAAAGCCCTCTGCTTTTGCCAACACTTCTATCTTGGTTTTCAGGGTCTGGTTTGCTCTCTCTACTATGGCCTGTCCGGTACTGTTATGCGGGATGCCATGCACTAGCGTGATACCCCATTTCGAGGCGAATTCCTGTACTTGTTTGGATTTGAAGTTGGAGCCGTTGTCCGTTTTGATCTGCTTGGGGATGCCTAGCCAGGCCATGGCTGTCAGCCAGTGCTGAATTGTGGCTTTGGAGTTGGTTTTGGGGTGCTGTGTAGCTACGATCGCTCCGCTATAAGTGTCTACTGTCACTGCAAGCCAAGCTCGGGGCCTTAGTATTTCGCACCAGGTGAAGTCTGACTGCCAGACTTCTGAGGGCTTGAGACCTCTCGGGTTGACTCCGTAGGACCAAAGGGGTGACTTCTGGCAATGAGGGCAAGTGGCTACCACATGTTTGGCGTCCGCCGTCGAGATTCCGCATCTCTTTGCCAGTGCTTTGACTCCGATGTGGAGTGACTCGTGCAGTTGATGAGCTCTTTGCAAGGTCCAAACGCCTTTCGCTGCGGCGTCCGCTTTGTCGTTGCCGATCTGGAAGTAACCTTTGACTGGGTCATGGCTGTTGATGTGGATGACTGACACGGTGCCCTGTCGCGAGGAGAGTGCTTCTTCCAGCATTAGGGCTGCTGCTGATGTTGACACTCCTGGTCCTGCCATGGCTAGGCTGAGCCTTGCCACGAATATGGAGTCCGTTACGATGTTGAGGTGTTCGTCTTGGAAGAGTCCGCACGCCAAAACCACTGCTGCTGCTTCCAGTTGTTGCACTGACAGTGTGGGGTCCCTCGCTTTGACGCAGTGCCATTGCTCTCCTGCCTGCCACACTGCTGCTGCGGTTGAGGTCGTGGAGGAGGCGTCTGTGAAGACCGTTGGTCCCGGCTGCGGTCTGTCCTTGACCTTCGGCGGCATGTCCATGTCGACTACGGTCAGCAGCTTAGTCCAGGGTGGCTTGGAAGAGTAGGAGATTTCTCCTCCGAAGCCGGAGAGAGCAAGGGCCAGGTACTCCGATATTACGGTTGACTCTATGGTCGGCTGCTTGCGAAACGGAAGGTGGATACTTGTCGGCTCTGTCCCTAGGTGTTTCAAGGCGAGTCTCCTGCCTTTCATTATGAGGTTGGCAATGCACTCGATTCCTGGGGAAAACGCACGAGCGGGTCTTCCGAGGACCACCCATTGGATGGGTCGGGCCTTTTCTGCAAGTCCTTGGGCGAGTGCTCCCACTCCCCCCTTCGGTGTAAAGTGGACGTACAGGTCCAGTGGCATGGCTGGATTCCACCTGGCAAGCGTGCCAGTGGCCATTTGGTTTTCGATGAAGTCGAGGGAGCTCGTTGCTTGCGGTGTCAGCTTCTTGGGTTCCTAGGGGTGCTTTCCTTTCAGGAGGTCGTACAGAGGGTCCATGATCTCGGGAGGAATCAGGACGATGTTGCGAAGCCACTGCAGCGATCCCACCAGGCGTTGCACGTCGTGGAGTGTCTTGATGTCTCGGTTGATCTTCATCTCGGGGGGTGTCACGTAGGAGCTTGTGATGCCTACTCCCAGGAAGGTCACGCAGGGTCCTCTCTTGATCTTTGCGCTCGCGATCTCGAAGCCGTTGGCTTGAAGGGTTTCCGTGATTGTGGACACAAGGTGATCTACTTGGCTTGTTGATGGTGCTGCGACCAGGATGTCGTCCATGTACTGGATGATGGTTGCGGTGGGGTAGGAGTGTCGGACTGGTGTCAGTGCTTTGTCCACGGTGATTTGGCATATGGTGGGACTGTCGACCAGGCCTTGCGGAAGTACTCTCCATTGGAAGCGAAGGTTGGGCCGCTCGCCGTTCCGAAATGCCACGGAAAAGGCGAATCGTTCTCTGTCCTCAGGGTGCAGGGGTATTGAAAAGAAGCAGTCCTTGATGTCCAGTACTGCACACGGCTGCCCTTCGGGGATGGCTGAGTTCGCGGGAAGCAGTGTCTGGACTGGACCCATGGGTCGAATCGTCTTGTTCACTTCTCTCAGGTCATGGACGAGACGATAGCCTTGTCCGGACCTTTTGGGGACCACGAATACCGGGGTGTTCCATGGGCTGGTGGAGGGTTCTATGTGACCCTTTTGCAGTTCTCGATCGACCAGTTCCAGCAAGGCTGCCATTCGAGGCTCTGTCAGGGGCCACTGCTCAACCCATACAGGGTCTGATGATTTCCAAGTCAATTTGATTGGCAGCGGAGGGTGTACGGCAGTGGCCCTTATGATAAATTTGTGATCCGAAATCCTAGCAAGGAGAGAACATCCCTTCCTAACAGGGGTGGAGAATTCTGCAAAATGTAGGGGTAGATTGCTACTGTCTGTTCTGGTCCCTTTTTCGTGTGAAGTGTTATAGCCACCAGCTGGGTGCTTTTCCATGCCCGGGACTGCCCCCCCACTCCGTTCACTGGGGGGACTTCTTTGAATTGCCAATGTCCGGGCCAATGCGTTTGGGGAATAATCGTGCAGTCTGATCCCGTGTCCGCCCAAAACTGAAGCCCTATGACGTGAGGATCTTGGCTGCCGTAAAGGCGGCATGTCCCCCACACCATCAAGGGCTCCTTCCCTATTTTCATGACCAAGGCCACCCAGGGATCCCGCTCTGGGGCGTCCCCTGCTGGCCCTGTGACTCCGGCGCGGGTTGTGGTGGTGGGGGGTGCGAAGGTATTGAGGGTGCTGCACAACTCTGCCATTGTATTGCTGGGGGGGATGCAAAGGTGACTGCTCCCTGTGGGGGCATAGGGTATGAGAATCCCCTGCCCCACTGGGGGTTGCTGTAGCTGGGCCGCTGCATATTCCAGGTGGGAGGGGGCTGAACACGGCCCGGCCACCCCCTCCCTCTCCCGTTTCCCTGAGGCCTGGATCTGCATTCCTTAGCTAAATGCCCCTTCCTTCCACACCCCCAGCACGGTCCCCTGCCTCCCGCTTGGCGTGGTGGAGCAGCTGCTGATAGGCGGCTTGGCTGGGGGCAGTTTGCTGCCAAGTGGCCTGCCTGGCCGCACTTAAGGCATGCCATCACGCTGGTTATTGCAGTTTGAACTGCTGCTTGGATGGGAGCTAGGTGTTCCTCCTTTGCAACGTGTCTGATCATGGCAGCTATATTGGACCCCTGTGGCAGTGATCTTAAAATGTCCTTAGTGGCTGAGTTGCATTGCTGGCGTAAACACTCTGCCAGCACGGGACCCTTTGCCTCTGAGGGTAACGCCGAGGAATCTAATGCAGCCTGGAGCTTATCCACGAATTGAGTGAAGCTCTCACTCTCACCCTGTTTTATGGAAGACCATGGAGAGGGTTTGGCTACCACTTTAGAAGCGTCACGGATGGCTTCTCGGGCAGCTCGGGTCGTTGTCATGACCTCATGGGCTCGCAGGCCCTCAGCCTGTTGCTGGGGGGTGATCATAGTGGGGTCTGTGCCCATAAGCCTCTGTATGCTGGAGCCATGCAGTGGATGGTCTGCCCCTGTTACCAAGGCTAGCTGTTTCATGCAATTATCCTCCCATTCTTGTTTGAAAACGATCATCCCTGCACCATCGAATATCATTCTACATGTCTGCTTAATATCGAAGGGAAGCATGTCGTCCCCACCAAAAAGGCCGTCTATAAGTGTGCAAACCATGGCAGAATTAATTCCCTTATCCGCAATCGCTTTAACAATTGCCTGCACATCTTTCGGATTGACTGGTGAATAAGTCCTTTGGTTTCCGCCTGCCCCCCCCACACGGACCGGGAACACTAAAGTGGCAGACGGAGCCCATTCCGCGCAAGCCATTTTTATTTTCCGCCAATTTGTGAGCGGGGTTTGGTTTTTCTCTGGTAACCCCTTCACCCAAGCGGGAGCACTGTGGCTAGTGACCTTACATGCCGCTTCTCTCTCTCTGTTAAAGCCGTAATCCAGATCGGAATCCTCCGATCCTATCTCGGGCTCGGAGCTCGAGCCCGAGTCCGAGCCGGAAGTTGAATAAGGAGACGCTTCCGGGCTGCTCTGCCTTTTCCCCGGACTCCGACCCCGCCCCCTCCTGCGGGGGTCGGGCCGTTCCCTCTCCCTGGGGTCCCCCCGCCTCCTGCTGGGGGAGGTCCTTGCCCTATAAGGACCTACTGTGAACTGAGGGCTCTGGTTGATCTTACGCGTCTCCGCGGGGGCAGCCCCGTCCCCCCGCTCGCCCGCGCATGCGTTGTTAAGCGGGCTGACCGCGCTTCCGCCCCCCGCCTCCTCCTTTCCGCCCGGACCACGCGGTTCGGCGCCATTTTCAAACGCATATGGTGGGGGGGCGTTTTTATCAGTCCCTACGGGGTCCGCCAATTCGGCCGCGTTCCGCGCCTCCTCCGCGAGCCCCCGCCAGAACGTCCGCGGGTGTTCCCCCCCCTCCGATGGTGAATCCGCTCGCTGAGGGGGGTTTGGCGTTCGCGCCTCCGCGCGCCCGCCCGGGTCAGGCCCCTCCGCGGTTTGTGTCGCCGCGCCCACCCCCAACTGCGGCACGGCTAATAAACAAGTTCGCGCGGCTATCCAGGTTTCTTGCTCTTGTCGAGCCTTTTGCAGAGCCTGGACAACCCTGCCCCACGATTTTAGGGCTTTCCCTGAGCCCGAGGACATGGTGTCCTCCGCCAGGGCCTTTGTACAATTATCCCACACGTCCGAATGTAGGACGTCCACGGGGCTTTCAATAGCCCCAAGCTTAATCAGTCTCGGCAATGCGAGAGATAAATCCCTAAGTTTACATTCTATACCCCATTGTGCATGCATCTCTGTTACGACCTTCGCAATGGCTTCCATGGTCCACGCTGGTCCGGAGGCGTCCCTCCCGCTGTGGTCAGACCTGCTGCCAGCAGCCGCTGATCTCTGGCCAGGAGAATACCCGAACCCCGGGGGCTGCAGCAGTCCCGGGTTTCGGCACCAATTTGTTGTTTTTTGATACAAGGCAGGCGACTTGGTTCAGACGAACAGCACGGCAGCCCTCTCACTAGGGCCACTCGGGCCAATGACACACGCAGACATCAATGTGATGGACGGTCAAAAGGCGTTTATTATCTCGTCTCTTGGGTTTTTATAGTCTAGGGGGTCTCTACGTCAGCATGGGTCTGTCTTTACCTTCTATGGTTAGTAAGAGGTGGACTGTTACTGGGTAGGGGATGGAAAGTTACTGGAATTTGGTTAGGCGGGTTACATTCCTATGTTAGTTTCTTATCTATGGGAGGCAGATGGTCTTATCTAAGGGGATCTGAGGGTCCTGGCTTTCCGTGACATCGCGAGATCTTCCGCGGCGCCTTTCCCTGTCTACCACACCCAGGTGTGTCCCTTTGTGTGCCCAGGTGTGTGAAAGGTGTCCCCAGGTGTGTGCCCAGGTGTGTGCCCAGGTATGCCCAAGGGTGTGCCAGGGGTGTGCCCAGGTGTGCCAGGTGTGTCCCCAGGTGTGTGCCAGGTACACTCAGGTGTGCCAGGGCTGTGCCAGGTGTGTCCCCAGGGATGTCCCAGGTATCCCTCAGGGATGTCCCCAGCTGTGCCAGGTGCGTGCCAGGAGTGCCCAGGTGTGCCAGGTGTGTGCCCAGGTGTGTGCCCAGGCATGCCCCAAGTGTGCCCAAGTGTGTCCCCAGGTATGCCCAGGTACCCCCCAGGTGCCCCAGGCATGCCCAGGTGTCCCTAGGGATGTCCCCAGGGAGGTCCCCAGGTGTGCCTAGGGATGTCTCCAGGCATGGCAAGGTGTGCCCAGGTGTGCCAGGTGTGCCCAGGTGTGCCAGGTGTGCCCAGGTGTACCCAGGGAGGTCCCCAGGTGTGCCCAGGCAAGCCCAGGTGTGTGCTAGGCATGCCCAGGTGTGTGCCACGTGTGCCCAGGCATGCCCAGGTGTGTGCCCAGGTGTGCCCAGGTGTGCCAGGTGTGTGCCCAGGTGTGTGCCCAGGTGTGCCAGGTGTGTGCCCAGGTGTGCCAGGTGTGCTCTCCGCAGAGGGGCGCTCTCTCAAGGACGAGGATGTGCTGCAGTCGCTGCCCGTGGGCACCACGGCCACGCTCTACTTCCGGGACCTGGGGGCGCAGATCAGCTGGGTCACGGTCAGTGTCACACCTGTGGCACCTGTCTGTCACCTGTGTCACCTGTGTCACCTGTGTCACCTCTGGGTCACCTGTGTAACCCCCCATGTCACCTGTGTGTCATCTATGTAACCCCCCATGTCATCCCCGTGTCACCTGTGTCACCTTCTGGGACCTGGGGGCGCAGATCAGCTGGGTCACGGTCAGTGTGACACCTGTATCACCTGTGTGTCACCTGTGTCACACCTGTGTCATCCCCCTGTGTCATCCCCTGTCACCCACTGTGTCACCTGTGTGTCACCTGTGTGTCACCTGTGTCATCTGTGTCACCTGTGTGTCACCTGTGTCATCCCCTGTCACCCACTGTGTCACCTGTGTGTCACCTGTGTGTCACCTGTGTCATCTGTGTCACCTGTGTGTCACCTGTGTCATCCCCTGTCACCCACTGTGTCACCTGTGTGTCACCTGTGTGTCACCTGTGTCATCCCCTGTCACCCACTGTGTCACCTGTGTCACCTGTGTCATTTACGTAACTCCCTGTGTCACCTGTGTCACACCCTGTGTCACCTGTATCACCTCCCTGTTTCACCTGTGTCACCTGTGTCACCACATGCGTCACCTGTGTGACACCTGTGTGTCCTCCCCTGTGTCACCTGTGTAATCCTGTGCCATTTCCTGTCACCCATTGTGTCACCCGTGTGTCACCTGTGTGACCTGCATGTCATCTATGTAACGCCCTGTGTCACCCGTGTGTCACCTGTGTCACACCTGTGTCACCTGTGTCACACCTGTGCCCCCCCTGTGCCCGTCTGTCCCTCTCTGTCCCTCTGTCCCTGCTCCTGGGTGTCCCATGTCCCCTGTGTTCACCTGTCCCAGGTGTCCCTGTCCCCTCACCTGTCCCCTCTCACCTGTCCCTCACCTGTGCCAGGTGTCCCCGACTGTCCCAGGTGTCCCTGTCCCTGACTGTCCCTTCTTACCTGTCCCAGGTGTCCCTGACTGTCCCCTCTCACCTGTGCAGGTGTTCCTGACGGAGTACGCGGGTCCCCTCCTCATTTACCTGTCCCAGGTGTCCCTGACTGTCCCTGACTGTCCCCTCTCACCTGTCCCTCACCTGTGCCAGGTGTCCCTGACTGTCCCAGGTGTCCCTCACCTGTCCCCCCTCACCTGTCCCAGGTGTCCCCGACTGTCCCTCACCTGTCCCTCGCCTGTCCCAGGTGTCCCTGTCCCCCCTCACCTGTCCCAGGTGTCCCTGTCCCCCCTCACTGTCTGTCACCTGTCCCAGGTGTCCCTGTCCCCTCTCACCTGTCCCTCACCTGTCCCAGGTGTCCCTGTCCCCCCTCACTGTCCCTCACCTGTCCCAGGTGTTCCTGTCCCCCCTCACTGTCCCTCACCTGTCCCAGGTGTCCCTGTCCCCCCTCACTGTCCCTCGCCTGTCCCAGGTGTCCCTGTCCCCCCTCACTGTCCCTCGCCTGTCCCAGGTGTTCCTGTCCCCCCTCACTGTCCCTCACCTGTCCCAGGTGTCCCTGTCCCCCCTCACTGTCTGTCACCTGTCCCAGGTGTCCCTGTCCCCCCTCACTGTCCCTCACCTGTCCCAGGTGTTCCTGTCCCCCCTCACTGTCCCTCACCTGTCCCAGGTGTCCCTGTCCCCCCTCACTGTCCCTCACCTGTCCCAGGTGTTCCTGACGGAGTACGCGGGTCCCCTGCTCATTTACCTGCTGTTCTATTTCCGGGTGCCGTTCCTGTACGGGCCCCGCTACGACTTCACGGCCAGCCGGCACCGCGTGGTGCAGTGAGTGACACCGGGGGGACATTGGGGACAGTGGGGACACCTTGGGGACATTGGGGACACTGGGGACACCTTGGGGACAGTCACAGCCAGCCGGCACCGCGTGGTGCAGTGAGTGACAATGGGGACATTGGGGACACTGGGGACACCCTGGGGACATTGGGGACACTGGGGACACCTTGGGGACAGTCACAGCCAGCCGGCACCGCGTGGTGCAGTGAGTGACAATGAGGGGACATTGGGGACAGTGGGGACACTGGGGACACCTTGGGGACATTGGGGACACTGGGGACACCCTGGGGACATTGGGGACACTGGGGACACCTTGGGGACATTGGGGACATTGGGGACACCTTGGGGACAGTGGGGACAGTCACGGCCAGCCGGCACCGCGTGGTGCAGTGAGTGACAATGGGGACATTGGGGACATTGTGTTTGGGGACATTGGGGACACTGGGGGGATTGGGGACAGTGGGGACATCTTGGGGACAGTCACCGCCACCCGGCACCATGTGGTCCCGTGAGGGGCACCATGGGGACATTGGGGACACCTTGGGGACAGCGGGGGGACATTGGGGGGACACTGGGGACATTGGGGGGGTTTGGGGACATGGGGACACTGGGGACACTGGGGGGGACATTTGGGACATTGGGGGATTATGGGGGGACACGGTGACATCGGGGAGACATTGGGGACACCTTGGGGACGCTGGGGCTTGCAGGGCCCATTGTGGGGACACCGGCTGGGTGTTGGGGACAGGGGGGACGTGTCCCAGGTGTGTCCCAGGTGTGTCCCCAATGATGTCCCCAATGATGTCCCCAATGATGTCCCCAGCCTGGCGTGCTGCTGTCACTCGTTCCACTACGTCAAGCGGCTGCTGGAGACGCTGTTCGTGCACCGCTTCTCGCACGGCACCATGCCCCTGCGCAACATCTTCAAGGTGGGACACCTGGGACACCTGTGTGACACCTGGGTGACACCTGTGTCACCTGTGTGACACCTGTGTGCCACCTGTGTCACTGCCCTGGGCATTGTCCTGTCCCCTCCCTGTCCCCTTCTCGCACGGCACCGTGCCCCTGCGCAACATCTTCAAGGTGTGACACCTGTGTGACACCTGTGTGACACCTGTGTGACACGTGCGTGATGCCTGTGTGCCACCTGTGACACCTGTGTGACACCTGCGTGACACCTGCGTGACACCTGTGACACCTGTGTGACACCTGTGTCACTGCCCCGGCACCGCCCTGTCCCCTCCCCTTCTCACACGGCACCGTGCCCCTGCGCAACACCTTCAAGGTGGGACACCTGTGACACCTGTGTGACACCCGAGTGTCACCTGTGTGACACCTGTGTGACACGTGTGCCACGCTCCCAGCACCGCTGTCACTGCCCTGTGCCCTCCCTGTCCTTGTCCTTGTCCCTGTCCCCACCAGTTCTGGCGTGGTGGCACCGACCCTGTGCCACCTCTCCGAGGTGTCGCTGTCACCTGGGTCACCTGGGTCACCTGGCTGTCCCCTCTGTGTCACCCCTGCCACCCCCTGGGTCCCCTCCCTGTCACCTCTGCTGTCCCCTGTCACCTCTGGGTCACCTCTGCCACCCCGTGTCCCCGCCCAGCCCTGACCCCGTGTGACATCATCCAGGTGTCACTGTCACCTGGGTCACCTCCCTGTCCCCCCTGGGTCACCTCTGGGTCACCTCTGCCACCCCCTGTCCCCACCTGGCCCTGACCCCGTGTGGCGTCATCCCGGTGTCACCTCTGCCACCCTGTCCCCTCCGTGTCCCCTCCATGGCAGCCCCGCACACCTGGCTGTCCCCAGGTGTGCCCTGCCCGCCACTGCCCCGTCCCCAAAGTGTCCCCAAAGTGTCCCCAACGTGTCCCCAATGTGTCCCAACGTGTCCCCAGAACTGCACCTACTACTGGGGCTTCGCTGCCTGGATGGCGTACTACATCAACCACCCGCTGTACACCCCGCCAGGTGAGTGACACTGTCACTGTCACCTGTGTGTCACCTGTGTGTCACTGTCCCCATCCCCATTACATCAACCACCCGCTGTACACCCCGCCAGGTGAGTGACACTGTCACTGTCACCTGTGTGTCACCTGTGTGTCACTGTCCCCATCCCCATTACATCAACCACCTGCTGTACACCCCGCCAGGTGAGTGACACTGTCACTGTCACCTGTGTGTTACTGTCACCTGTGTGTCATTGTCATTGTGACTGTCCTCATTGTCACCTGTGTGTCACTGTCACCTGTGTGTCACTGTCACTGTCCCCATTACATCAACCACCCGCTGCACACCCCGCCAGGTGAGTATCACTGTCACTGTCACCTGTGTGTCACCTGTGTGTCATTGTCACCTGTCACTGTCACCTGTGTGTCACTGTCACTGTCCCCATTACATCAACCACCCGCTGTACACCCTGCCAGGTGAGTGTCACCTGTGTGTCCCTGTCACTGTCACGGTCACCTATCACTGTCACCTGTCACTGTCACCTGTCCCTGTCCCCGTCCCCGTGTCCCCTTTGTCGCCCTGTGCCACCAGGACACACACAGGGGGTGTCCCTGTCCCTGTCCCTGTCCCTGCCACGCCCGTGTCCCCTGCGGGAGGGGACACTGCTGCTGTCCCTGTCCCCATCCCCGTCCCTGTGTCCGTGTCCCTGTGTCCTTCTGTCCCTCTGTCCCTGTCTGTCTGTCCCCATGCTGACCCCCTCGTGTCCCTGTCCCTCTGTCCCCAGTGTCCCCCTGTCCCTCTGTCCGTCTGTCCCCATGCTGACTCTCCCTTGTCCCCATCCCTGTCCCTGTGTCCCCCTGTCCGTCTGTCCCCAGTGTCCCCGTGTCCCTCTGTCCCTGTGTCCCTCTGTCCCCATGCTGACCCCCCCGTCCCTGTCCCTCTGTCCCTCTGTGCCCCTGTCCCCTCTGTCCTCCCCATCCCTGTCCCTGTGTCCCTGTGTCCGTCTGTCCCCAGTGTCCCCCTGTCCCCATCCCTGTCCCCGTGTCCCTCTGTCCCGCTCTGACCCCCGTCTGTCCCCCAGCGTACGGTGACGATCAGGTGAAGCTGGCGCTGGCCGTGTTCCTGGTGGGTACGGGGGGGGACACTGGGGGGACACTGGGGACACTGGGGGGACACGGTGGGGGGACATTGGGGGGGACATTGGGGACACAGGGGGGACACGGGGGGGACATTGGGGGGACATTGGGGACATTGAGGGGACATTGGGGGGACATTGGGGACACAGGGGGGACACGGGGGGACATTGGGGGGACATTGGGGACATTGAGGGGACATTGGGGGGACATTGGGGACACAGGGGGGACACGGGGGGGACATTGGGGGGACATTGGGGACATTGAGGGGACATTGGGGGGACATTGGGGGGACACTGGGGGGACATTGGGGGGGACATTGGGGGGACACTGGGGACACAAGGGGGACATTGGGGGGACATTGCGGGGACACTGGGGGGACATTGGGGACATTGGGGGGGACATTGAGGGGACATTGGGGACATTGGGGGGACATTGGGAGGACATTGGGGGGACATTGGGGACATTGGGGGACATTGAGGGGACATTGGGAGGACATTGGGGGGACATTGAGGGGACATTGGGGACATTGGGGACATTGGGGGGACATTGAGGGGACATTGGGGGGACATTGGGGGGCTGGGAATGGGGGCTTTGGGGGGTTTGGGGGTCTGGGATGGTTTGGGGGGGGCCAGGATGGGGATCTGGGGGGTCGTGGCAGAGTTGGGGGGTCCCAGTGGGGGTTTGGGGGGCTGGAAGGGCTGGGATGGGGGTTCAGGGGGGCCCAGTAGGGGCTGGGAGGGGTTTGGGGGGCTGGGATGGGGGATTTGGGGAGGGGTCTGGGGGGCCATGGGGGGGCTTGGGCAGATTTTGGGGGTCTGGAGGAGTTTTGGGGGGTCCCAATGGGGCCATGGGGACATTGGGGGGTCCCTGGGGGGGGTCCTGGTGCCACCCCCCCCGTGACCCCCCCAGTTCTGCCAGCTCGGGAACTTCTCCATCCACGTGGCCCTGAGGAACCTGCGGCCGGCGGGTGAGGGGACATTGAGGGGACATTGGGGACATTGGGGACATCTGGGGACATTGGGGACACTGGGGACATTGGGGACATTGGGGACGTTGGGGGAATTGGGGACATTGGGGGATTGGGGACATTGGGGACATCTGGGGACACTGGGGACAATGGGGATTGGGGACAATGGGGACAGTCAGGGGACAGCCAGGGGACAATGGGGACAGTGGGAACATCAGAGGACACAGAGGGACATTGGGGACAGCGGGGACAGCCAGGGGACAGTGGGCAGACATGGGGACATTGGGGACACTGATGGACATGGGGGACATCAGGGACATTGGGGACATTGAGGGGACAATGGGGACAGCGGGGTCAGCCAGGGGACATTGGGGACAGTGGGGGACACAGAGGGGACATGGTGGGTGGCACCTGTCCGGGGGTGGCCTGGGGGGTGACCCGTGTCCTGGGGGTGTCACCGGTGTGTCCCCGTGTCACTGGTGTGTCCCTGTGTCCCCACGGCCGGGGGTGTCACCGGTGTGTGTCACTGTGTCCCCATCTGTGGGGGCGTCACCAGTGTGTCCCCATGTGTGTCCCTGTGTGTCCCCATGTCACAGTGCATGTCCTGTGTCCCCATGTGTCACCGGTGTCCCCCCCTGTGTCCCCATGTCACTGGTGTCCCCCCGTGTGTCCCTGTGTCACTGATGTGTCCCCATGTGTCACCATGTGTGTCCCTGTGTCCCCATGTCACCGGCATGTCCCCGTGTCCCTCTGTGTCACCGGTGTCCCCCCGTGTGTCCCTGTGTCCCCATGTGTCCCCCTGCGTGTCCCCATGTCACCAGCGTGTCCCCGCGTCCCCCTGTGTCACCGGTGTCCCCCCCTGTGTCCCCACATCCGGGGGTGTCACCACTGTGTCCCTGTGTGTCTCCATGTCCCCGTGTCCCCCCGTGTCCCCCTGTGTGTCTCCATGTCACCGTGCGTCCCCGTGTCCCCCCGGGTCCTCCTGTGTCCCCATGTGTTCTGATGTCCCCATGTGTCACCAGTGTCCCCTGGTGTCCCCGCAGGCTCCGAGATGCGCAAGATCCCGTTCCCCACCCGGAGCCCCTCCCTGTGTCACTGTGTCACTGTCCCCATGTGTCACTGTGTGTCCCTGTGTCACTGTGTGTCACTGTGTGTCCCTGTGTGTGTCACTGTGTGTCACTGTGTGTCATTGTGTGTCACTGTCCCCATGTGTCACTGATGTCCCTGTGTCACTGTGTGTCACTGTGTGTCACTGTGTGTGTCCCTGTGTGTCCCTGTGTGTGTCCCTGTGTGTCACTGTGTGTCACTGTGTGTCCCTGTTTGTCACTGTGTCCCTGTGTGTCCCTGTGTGTGTCACTGTGTGTCACTGTGTGTGTGTCACTGTCCCCATGTGTCACTGATGTCCCTGTGTCACTGTGTCCCTGTGTGTCCCTGTGTGTGTCCCTGTGTGTGTCCCTGTGTGTCACTGTCCCGTGTCACTGTCACTGTGTCACTGTGTCACTGTCACTGTGTGTCACTGTCCCCATGTGTCCCTGTGTCACTGTCACTGTGTCACTGTGTGTCACTGTGTGTCACTGTGTGTCACTGTGTGTCACTGTGTCACTGTCACTGTGTGTCACTGTCCCCATGTGTCACTGTGTCACTGTCACTGTCCCCATGTGTCCCTGTGTCCCTGTGTCACTGTCCCTGTCCCCGCAGGCTCCAAGACGCGCAAGATCCCGTACCCCACCCGGAACCCGTTCATGTGTCCCTGTGTGTCCCTGTGTCACTGTGTCACTGTGTGTCACTGTGTCACTGTGTGTCATTGTCCCCATGTGTCACCGGTGTCCCCGTGTGTCCCCGTGTGTCCCCGTGTGTCACCGGTGTCCCCGTGTGTCACCGGTGTCCCCGTGTGTCCCCATGTGTCCCCATGTGTCACCGGTGTCCCCGTGTGTCACCGGTGTCCCCGTGTGTCCCCGTGTGTCCCCGTGTGTCACCGGTGTCCCCGTGTGTCCCCGTGTGTCCCCATGTGTCCCCGTGTGTCCCCGTGTGTCCCCGTGTGTCACCGGTGTCCCCGTGTGTCCCCGTGTGTCCCCGTGTGTCCCCGTGTGTCACCGGTGTCCCCATGTGTCCCCGTGTGTCCCCATGTGTCCCCGTGTGTCACCGGTGTCCCCGTGTGTCCCCGCAGGTTCCAAGACGCGCAAGATCCCGTACCCGACGCGGAACCCGTTCACGTGGCTGTTCCTGCTCGTGTCCTGCCCCAACTACACCTACGAGGTCAGGGACACCTGGGGACAATGGGGACACCTGGGGACACCTGGGGACACCTGGGGACACTGCAGAGACACCTGGGGACACACCTGGGGGGGTGTGGCATCCCTGGGGACACTGAGGACACCCCTGGGGGGGTGTGTGACATCCCTGGGGACACCTGGAGGGGACACCTGGGGACACTGCAGGGACACCTGGGGGGTGTGACATCGCTGTGCTGGGGGTGTCACTGGAGGATGGGGACACCCCAAAGGTGACATCCCCATAAGTGACACCCAGAGGTGACACCCACAGGTGACATTTCCCCAATTTGTCCCCCCCAGGTCGGTTCCTGGATCGGTTTCACCATCATGACCCAGTGCCTGCCCGGTGAGGGGACAGCAGGGGACAATGGGGGGACATGAGGGGACAAAGGGGGACACAGGAGGGGACACGGGGAGGGACACAGAGGGGACGGGGGGGAGGACATGGGGGGGAGACAAGGGGACAAGGAAGGGACACACGGGGGGACATGGGGGGGACATGGGGGGACATGAGGGGACAAGGAGGGGACATAAGGGGGGACACAGAGGGGACATGAGAGGGACAAAGGGGGACACATGGGGGGAGACATGGAGGGGACAATGAGGGGACATGGAGGGGACAATGAGGGGACATGAGGGGACAAAGGGGGACACAGGAGGGACATGCGGGGACATGGGGGAGACATGGAGGGGACACATGGGGGGACATGAGGGGACATTGGGGGGACACGGGGACAATGAAGGGACATGGAGGGGACATGGGGGGACAAGGGGGGGGACATGGAGGGGACATGAGGGGACACAAAAGGGCCATGGGGGGACATGGAGGGGACACAATGGGGGACATGAGGGGACATGGATGGGACATGGTGGGACATGGTGGGACATGAGGGGACATGGAGGGGACACGGGACAGGGGGTGACACCCCAGAGACCCCGGCCCTGTGTCCCCTCTGTCCGTGTCCCCTGTGCCACTCCTGGGTCCCCAGGGATTTTGGGGGGATTCGGGGTGGATTTGGGGGTGGTTTAGGTGGATTTGGGGGAATTTGGGGTGATTTGGGGTGGATTTGAGGGGGATTTTGGGGTGGATTTGGGTGGTTTTTGGGGTGATTGGGGTGATTTAGGAGTGATTTTGGGGGGATATGAGGTGGATTCAGGGTGGATTTAGGTGGATTTAGATGGATTTGGGGGCGATTTGGGGGAATTTGGGGTGATTTAGGTGGATTTTGGGGTGGATTTGGGTGGTTTTTGGGGTGATTTGGGGTGGATTTGAGGGGGATTTTGGGGGGATTCAGGTGGATTTGGGGGTGGTTTAGGCGGATTTTGGGGTGATTTGGGGTGGATTTAGGAGTGATTTTGGGGGGATATGAGGTGGATTCAGGGTGGATTTAGGTGGATTTAGATGGATTTGGATTTAGGGGAATTTGGGGTGGATTTGGGAACGATTTTTGGGGGGATTTGGGGTGGTTTAGATGGATTTGGGTGGATTTAGTGGTGATTCAGGGTTGATTTTGGGGTGGATTTTGGGGAATTTTAGGGGATTTGGGGGATTTAGGGGTGGATTTAGGAGCGATTCTGGGTGGATTTTGAGGGGAATTGAGTGGATTTTGGGTGGATTTGTGTTGGATTTAGGGGGATTTTGAGGGGATTTGGGTAGATTTTGGCTGGATTTGGGGTGGATTTGGGTTTAGGTGGATTAGGGCTGATTTGGGGTGGAATTGGGATGGATTTGGGATGGATTTAGGGGTCATTGATTAGATTTTGGGGGGATTTTGGGGTGGATTTGGGGGTGGATTTGGGGAGGATTTCAGGGTGACTTGGGGGGATTTTGGGGAATTTGGGGTGGATTTGGGGTGGATTGTGAGGAGATTTGGGTGGATTTTGAGGGGAATTGAGTGGATTTGGGGTAGATTTTGGGGGGATTTGGGTTGGATTTGGGTGGATTTAGTGGTGATTTGGGGTCGATTTTGGGCTGGATTTTGGGGAATGCGTTGGATTTAGGGGTGGATTTAGGGGTGGATTTAGGAGCGATTCTGGGTGGATTTTGAGGGGAATTGAGTGGATTTTGGTGGGATTTGGGGTGGATTTTGAGGAGATTTGGGTGGATTTTGAGGGGAATTGAGTGGATTTTGGGATGGATTTGTGTTGGATTGGGGTGGATTTAGGGGGATTTTGTGTGGATTTTGGGTGGATTTAGTGGTGATTGAGGGTGGATTTAGGAGTGGATTTGGGGTGGATTTTGGGGGGATTTGTGTTGGATTTGGGTGGATTTGGGGTGGATATGGATCGATTTAGGTGGATTTTGAGGTGGATTTGGGGGGGGATTTTGGGGAATTTGGGTCGGATTTGGGGTGGATTTTGAGGGGATTTGAGTGGATTTTGGGGTGGATTTGTGTTGGATTGGGGTGGATTTAGGGGGATTTTGCGTGGATTTTTGGTGGATTTTGGGTGTCCCCGCGGTGCCAGCCGTGTCCTGGCCGTGTCCCCTGGTGCCAGCCGTGTCCCTGTCCCCGCAGTGGCGCTGTTCTCGCTGGTGGGGTTTGTGCAGATGGCGATCTGGGCTCAGGGCAAGCACCGCAGTTACCTGCGCGAGTTCCGCGATTACCCGCCCCTGCGCTCGCCCATCGTGCCCTTCCTGCTGTGACACCGCCTTGGGGACATCGAGGGGACTGTCCCCTCCCTGCTGTGACAGCCCCAGGGACATCCCCCAGTGTCCCCTACCTGCTGTGACACTGCCCTGGGGACAGCCCTGGGGACATCCCCCATCGTGCCCTTCCTGCTGTGGGGACACTGCAGGAACAACCCTGGGGACATACCTCAGTGTCCCCTTCCTGCTGTGACACCACAGGGATGTCCCTCAGTGTCCCCTTCCTGCTGTTACACCATGGGGACATCGAGGGGACACCATGGGGACATCCCCCAGTGTCCCCTTTCCTGCTGTTACACCATGGGGACACTGAGGGGACAGCCCTGGGGACAGCCCTCATCATCCCCTTCCTGCTGTGACACCGCAGGGACATCCCCTGTTGTCGCCTCCCTGATGTGACACCTTGGGGACACCTTGGGGACACTCTGGGGACACTGTGCTCTCTGCTGTCCCCTCCCTGATGTGACACCTTGGGGACACCGCGATGTGTCCCCGCCAGTCCTGCCCTGAGCCTTGGGGACAGTGAGGGGACAGGGGACGAGCTCTGTGTCACCCTGGTGTCACAGCAGGACACGGCAGTGTGGCCACACTGTCCCTTGTCACCTCCAGGGTGGCACTGTCACCTCCGTGGTAGCAGTGTCATCTTGAGGATGCCATCTCCAGTGTCCCCTCCCCAGTGGCAGTGTCACCTCCAAGGTGGCAGTGTCACTTCCCTGGTGGCAGTGTCACCTCCCCAGTGACAGTGTCCCCTCCCCAGTGGCAGTGTCACCTCCAAGGTGGCAGTGTCACCTCCCCAGTGACAGTGTCACATCCAGGGTCCCATCCCCAGTGTCCCCTCCATGGTGGCAGTGTCACATCCATGGTGGCACTGTCCCCTCTCTGATGGCAGTGTCATCTTCAGGATGCCATCTCCAGTGTCCCCTCCCCAGTGGCAGTGTCACCTCCATGGTGGCAATATCCCCTCTCTGGTGGCAGTGTCACATGCAGGGTCCCATCCCCGGTGTCCCTTCCATGGTGGCAGTGTCACCTCCAGATGCCATCCCCAGTGGCACTGTCCCCTCCACGGTGGCACTGTCACCTCCCTGGTGGCAGTGTCATCTTCAGGGTCCCATTCCCGGTGTCCCCTCCCCAGTGGCAGTGTCACCTCCAGGGTGTCATCTCCAGTGTCCCCTCCATGGTGGCAGTGTCACATTCAGGGTGGCACTGTCCCCTCCCCAGTGGCACTGTCCCCAGCAGCACTGTCCCCGTCACCCCAAGCCACCCCTGGTGACACCGCAGTGTCACCCCCGGTGTCCCCTGCCCAGTGCCACCCCTGTCCCTGTCCCCGTCCCCGCAGGTGACAATAAATGCCATCCCCCCCCCACCGTGTGTGGCTGTCATTGTGTCATTGTCCCCTCCCGGGGGACACCCTTGGGGACAATCCCAGGCTGGGGGGGGGGGGGGGGGGGGGGTGGCTTCCCGATGTCCCCAAGCACGGTGACAGTGACACAATGACACAGAGCCCAGAGCCAGCGCCGTGTGTGACAGCTTTATTGGGGGGTGGCCTCGTGTCACTCGGAGTCACTCAATGTCACTTGGTGTCACTCGGGTGTCGCTCGGATGTCACTCGGTGCCCCAGATGTCACTCAGTGTCACCTGGTGTCATTGGGTGTCACTCGGTGTTTCCAGTGTCACTCGGGTGTCACTCGGAGTCCCCGATGTCACTCGGTGTCACTCAGGTGTCACTCGGTGTCATCGGGTGTCACTTGGTTCCTCGGGTGTCACTCGGGTGTCACTGCGGTGTCACCTGAGCTTTATTGGGGGGTGGCCGCGTGTCACTGTCACTGGGGTGTCATCCTGTGTCACTCGGTGATGTTTCCAGTGTCACCAGGTGTCACTCGGTGTCACTCAGTGTCACCAGGTGTCACTCGGTTCCTCGGGTGTCACTCGAGTGTTGCCAGTGTCACTCAGGTGTCACTCGGGAGTCCCAGATGTCACTTGGTCTCACCACGGTGTCCCTGGTGTCACTTGGTGTCACTCAGGTGTCACCTGGTGTCACCTGGTGTCACTTGGTTCCTCGGGTGTCACTCAGGTCTCACTCTGTGTCACTGTGGTGTCACTCGGTGTCACTGCAGTGTCCCTTCACAGCCTTACTGTGCGAGGTGGCCTCGTGTCACTGTCACCAGGGTGTCACTCGGTTCCTTGGGTGTCACTCAGTGTCACTTGGTGTCACTCGGGTGTTGCCAGTGTCACTTGTTGTTACCGCGGTGTCCCCGATGTCACTTGATGTCCCTGGGTGTCACTCAGGTGCCACTCGGTGTCCCAGACATCACTCGGTGTTGCCGGCGTCACTTGGTGTCACCGTGGTGTCCCCAGTGTCACTGAGGCGTCACTCGGTGTCCCAGATGTCACTCGGGTGTCACTCGGGTGTCACTCAGTGTCGCCAGTGTCACTCACCTCAGTGTCCCTGGTGTCACTCGCTATCCCCGGTGTCACCTGGGTGTCACTGAGTGTCCCCAGTGTCACTCAGGTGTTACCTGGAGTCCTAGTTGTCACTCGTCTCCACTGTCCCGTGTGTCCCTCGCTGCCCCCGATGTCCCCGCAGTGTCCCCGTGGTGTCACTCGCTGTCCCTGCTGTCCCTGTTTGTCACTCGCTGTCCCTGCTGTCCCCGTGGTGTCACTCGCTGTCACTCGCTGTCCCCGCTGTCCCCGCTGTCCCCACTGTCCCCGTGATGTCACTCGCTGTCCCCGCTGTCCCCGTGGTGTCACTCGCTGTCCCCGCTGTCCCCGTGTCGCTTCCTCAGCCGTTGCTGCCGCAGCCGCAGGCGCCGCTCGCGCTCAAACTCCTTCATGCGCATCACATAGCTGGGACAGGGACAGGGACAGGGACAGGGACAGTGTCACCGTGTGTCACCAACGTGTGCCATCACATAGCTGGGACAGGGACAGGGACAGTGTCACCGTGTGTCACCACTGTGTGCCATCACATAGCTGGGACAGGGACAGGGACAGGGACAGGGACAGTGTCACCGTGTGTCACCAACGTGTGCCATCACATAGCTGGGACAGGGACAGGGACAGGGACAGGGACAGTGTCACCGTGTGTCACCAACGTGTGCCATCACATAGCTGGGACAGGGACAAGGACAGGGACAGTGTCACCGTGTGTCACCACTGTGTGTCACCAACGTGTGTCACCAACGTGTGTCACTGTGTGTCATCACATAGCTGGGACAGGGACACCCTGTCATTGTGTGTCACTGTGTGTCACCGTGTGTCATTGTGTGTCACCGTGTCACCACAGTGGCACTGTGTGTCACTGTGTGTCACTGTGTGTTGCCACGGCCACCAACAGGTGGGTGCGGGTGGCACCGTGGTGGCCCCGTGTCCCCAAGCTCCCCCCGTGTCCCCAAGCTCCCCCCGTGTCCCCGTCACCCCCTAGACACGTCCCTGCTGTCCCTGTGTCCCCATGTCCTGTTCCTGCTGCTGGCAGCTGTCCCCCCATGATGTCGCCATGATGTCCCCACATTGTCCCCACAATGTCCCCGTGTCCCTTACTTGTCTTGCTGGCAGCTGTCCCAGCCGTGTCCCCCGCAATGTCCCCATGTGCTCAATGTCCCCATGTCCCCCCCAATGTCCCCATGTCCCCAGTGTCCCCATGTCCCCGTCCCTTACTCCCGGTGCTGGCAGCTGTTCCAGATGTGGTGCACCCATGTCCCCCCAATGACCTCCTGTGTCCTCCAGTGTCCCCATGTCCCCCCAATATCCCCAAATGTCCCCCCAATGTCCCCATGTCCCCCAATGTCCCCACAATGTCCCCATGTCCCCAGTGTCCCCATGTCCCCACAGTGTCCCCATGTCCCCCCAATGTCCCAATGTCCCCAGTGTCCCCATGTCCCCACAATGTCCCCATGTCCCCAGTGTCCCCATGTCCCCACAGTGTCCCCATGTCCCCCAATGTCCCCATGCTGTCCCCAGTGTCCCCATGTCCCCAATGTCCCCATGTCCCCAATGTCCCCATGCTGTCCCCAGTGTCCCCCACTGTCCCCAGTGTCCCCAATGTCCCCAGTGTCCCCATGTCCCCACAATGTCCCCATGTCCCCAGTGTCCCCAATGTCCCCATGTCCCCAATGTCCCCAATGTCCCCATGTCCCCACAATGTCCCCATGTCCCCAGTGTCCCCAATGTCCCCATGTCCCCAGTGTCCCCATGTCCCCAATGTCCCCAATGTCCCCATGTCCCCACAATGTCCCCATGTCCCCAGTGTCCCCAATGTCCCCATGTCCCCAGTGTCCCCAATGTCCCCAGTGTCCCATGTCCCCACAATGTCCCCATGTCCCCAATGTCCCCAGTGTCCCCATGTCCCCCCAGTGTCCCCATGCTGTCCCCAGTGTCCCCGTGTCACTCACTCGTGGTGCTGGCAGCTGTCCCAGGCGTGCCGCAGCGCGTGGCACCCCCAGGGCACGGGGAAGTTGTCGCGCTGGCAGCGCAGCAGCCGCACCAGGTGGTGCCCGCAGAAATCCCTCTGCTCCAGGGGCACGCGGGCATCGGAGAGCTGCGACGCCGAGGCCACCATGGCTGTCACACACAGGGGACAGGGACAGTTAGGGACAGCTGCGACGCCGAGGCCACCATGGCTGTCACACACAGGGGACAGGGACAGTTAGGGACACCCAGGGACAGCTGCGACGCCGAGGCCACCATCGCTGCCACCAGAGAGAGGGGACAATGTCAGTGACACCCAGGGACAGCCGGGATGCTGAGGCCACCATCACTGTCACACACAGGGGACAGAGGGGACAATGAGAGTCAGGGACAGCTGTGACACCGAGGCCACCATCACTGTCACCAGAGAGAGGGGACAATGACAGGGACAGCCAGGAACAGCTGGGCTGCTGAGGCCACCATGGCTGGGACAGAGAGGGGACAGAGGGGACAACGTCAGTCACGGACACCCAGGGACTGCTGGGCTGCCGAGGCCACCATCACTGTCACCAGGGGGGACAAGGACACTCAGGGACAGAGGGGACACTCAGGGACACAGGTGACACTCAAGGACACTCAGGGCCCACCCGGGAATGGGGACAAACAGGGGACAGGGTGTGACAGACACTCAGGGACATTCAGGGACACGCAGCCCTGGGCCAGCTGCGCCACCGAGGCCACCACGGCTGTCACAGAGAGGGGACAGAGGGGACACTCAAGGACACTCGGGGCCCACCCGGGAATGGGGACAAACAGGGGACAGGGTGTGACAGAGCGGGGACACGGGGTGGCAACGCAGGGACAGCGACACCCGCGTGGCACCAGGGTGGGGACAGGGTGGGTGGCACCGGGAGGGCACCGGGGTCACGCGAAGGCGGGGACACCCCAAGGCCACCGCGCCCCCCTCATGTCCCCACGTCCCCGCGTCCCCTCGCGGTGTCCCGCACTGACCGCGCGGCTGGCGGGCCGGCATGCCCAGCTGGGCGGGGAAGGACGGCATGTGCAGCGGGTCGGGCTCGGCCTCGGCGTCCCACAGGTAGCGCCGGCTCAGGTGCCCGCCCATGGCGGCGGCGGCGGCGGCTCCGGGCCCGGCCTGGCGGAGAAAATGGCGGCGGAACCGGAAGTGCAGCGAGCCGGAAGCGGAAGTGGCGGAAGGGCAGGGGAAGGGGAAGCGGCACCGAGGCGCCCCCTGGCGGAGGGGAGGAGCGGAAAGCGTCACTGAGAGCCCCTAAAAACACAAAAAAACCAAAAAAAAACCAACAGAAAATGCTCCAAATATCCCCCAAAAAGACCCAACCCCCACAAAACAGACCAAGAAAACCCACAAAAAAACAAAAACAAACCAAAACCCCACAAAACCCCACAGAACCCCAAAAAAGACCCAAAAACAAAAAAAAAAAAAACAAATCACCTGAAGAACCCACCCCCCCAAACACCCCCAAAACCTTAAAACAATCCCCCAGAAACCCCTAAATAAACCTTTAAAAACAAACAAGGAAACAAAAAGAAAACCCAAAAAAACCCCAACCCAAAACCTCAAAAAAACCCTCCAAAAAACTCCCCCCAAAAAACTCCACCCCTTCAGAACAAACTAAAAAAAAAACAAAAAAACCCAAAAAACCCTCCCTTAAAAAAAACCCAAAACCCCCACAAAACCCTAAAAGAGTCCCAGAAACACAAAACAAAAAAACTCAAAAAAAATCAGCAAAAAAACCAAAAGAACCCACCCAAAAAATCCCCAAAACCCTAAAAAAATCCCCCAGAAACCCCTAAATAAACCTTTAAGACAAAAAAAAAAAATCCAAAAAACAAAAAGAAAATTAAAAAAACCAAAAAAATGCCCCAAAACCACTAAAAAACCTTTAAAAAACCCCCATAAAACAAAAAATCTAAACAAAAAAAAAAAACCAAACACCCAAAAAACAACAAAAAAAAACCCAAAAAATTCCTCCAAATCCCCCAAAAACCCCAAACCCCCACCCCAAACTCCTTCAAAGCCCAAATGTCCGATGTCCCCAAGGCCACCAGAATGTCCCCAAGGGGGTGGCAGATGTCGTCCTGTCCCCATGGAGGTGGCACATGTCCCCAAGGGCTCCGAGGGACACGCTGGGGACACGAAGCCACCCCAAAATGTCCCCAGGCAATGAACAGACGAGGCCACGGGAGTGACAAAGGCGATTTATGGTGACACGAGTGTCCCCAAGGGCCACCTCGGGGACAGGAACAAGGGACACAAAGCAGCTCCGATGTCCCCAAGGGCCACCATCCCTTGAGGAACAATGAGTGACATGGCCGCGCTATCCCCATCCCAAAATGTCCTTGTCCCCAATGTCCCCATCCCAAAAATATCCCTGTCCCCAATGTCCCTGTCCCCAATATCCCCACCCCAAAATGTCCCTGTCCCCAATGTCCCTGTCCCCATGTCCCTGTCCCCAATGTCCCCATCCCAAAATGTCCCTGTCCCCAATGTCCCCAATGTCCCCACCTCAAAACGTCCCTGTCCCCAATCTCAAATGTCCCCATCCCAAAATGTCCCCGTCCCTCTCCAGGCCTTGTCCTTCACTGCTGTGTGACAAGGCCACGGTGTCCCCATCCCTGTCCTGTCACTGCCCTGTCCCTGTGTCCCCATCCCCATGTCCCTGTCCCTCTCCAGGCCACCCCTGTCCCTCACTGCCATGTCCCCTGTGGCCCTGTCCCTCTCCAGGCTGTCCCCATCCCTCACAGCCCTGTCCCTGTGACACTGTGTGACAAGCCCATGGTGTCCCTGTCCCTCACTGCCCTGTCCCTGTGTCCCCATGGCACTGTAGGACAAGGCCATGGTGTCCCTGTCCCTCTCCAGGCTGTCCCCTTGGTTCACAGCCCTGTCCCTGTGACAGTGTGACAAGGCCAGGCTGTCCCCACCCCTCTCCAGGCTGTCCCCATCCCTCACAGCCCTGTCCCACAGTGTCCCCATCCCTCCCAGCCCCACGTCCCCATGTCCCCATCACTCTCCAGGTTGTCCCCATCCCTCCCAACCCCATGTCCCCATGTCCCTCCCATGTCTCAGTGTCCCTTCAGGCCGTCCCTGTCCCTCCCATCCCGATGTCCCCCATGTCCCTCCCATGTCTCAGCACCTCTCCAGGCTGTCCCCATCCCTCAAAGTCTCGTTCCTGTGACATTGTGTGACAAGGCCATGGCGTCCCTGTCCCTTTCCAGGCTGCCCCCATCCCTCGTAGCCATGTCCCCCATGTCCCCTTGTCTCAGAGTTCCTTCAGGCTGTCCCCATCCCTCATAACCCTGGTCCCATGATGTCGCCATCCCTCCCACCGCCACATCCCCCGTGTCCCCACCCCTCTCCAGGCTGTCCCCATCCCTCCCACCCCCAAGTTCCCACGTCCCCCTGTGTCTCAGCGCCTCTCCAGGCTGTCCCCACTCCTCACAGCCCTGTCAGTGTGACACGGCCAAGGTGTCCCCATTCCTCTCCACACTCTGTCCCCTCTGTCACTGCCCTGTCCCCGTGTCCCCACCCCTCTCCAGGCTGTCCCCATCCCTCCCACCCCCAAGTTCCCACGTCCCCCTGTGTCTCAGCGCCTCTCCAGGCTGTCCCCACTCCTCACAGCCCTGTCAGTGTGACACGGCCAAGGTGTCCCCATTCCTCTCCACACTCTGTCCCCTCTGTCACTGCCCTGTCCCCGTGTCCCCACCCCTCTCCAGGCTGTCCCCATGTCTCACAGCCCTGTCCCACAGTGTCCCCATCCCTCCGACCCCCATGTCCCCATGTCCCAATCCCTCTCCAGGAGGTCCCCATCCCTCATAGCCCCATGTCCCCCATGTCCCAGAGTCCCTCCAGGCTGTCCCCACCCCATGTCCCCATGTCCCCCCCGATCTCAGCGTCCCTCCAGGCCATCCCTGTCCCTCCCACCTCCACATCCCCGTGTCCCCATCCCTCTCCAGGCTGTCCCCATCCCTCCCAACCCCATGTCCCCATGTCCCCCTGTGTCTCAGCACCTCTCCAGGCTGTCCCCATCCCTCACAGCCCTGTCCCTGTGACATTGTGTGACAAGGCCAAGATGTCCCCATCCCTCTCCAGACTGTCCCCACCCCACATCCCCGTGTCCCAGTCCCTCTCCAGGTTGTCCCCATCCCTCCCACCCCCAAGTCCTGGTGTCCCCCCAATCTCAGCGTCCCTCCAGGCTCTTGTCCCGCGCGATCACGGCCTCGTCGAACTTGATCATGAGCGTGGTGCCCTTGTGCCAGTGGGCGCTGACGCGGGCGGGGAAGCCGGCGGCGCCCAGCACGGCCTCCAGCAGCCCGGCGGCGAAGGCGGCGCAGTTCAGCGAGCTGTTCTCGCGCGGCACCGACACGAACGTGTTCACCACGGGCTCCCTCTCGATCACGTAGAACGTGCGCTCGTCGTCGTTGGCCTGCTCCAGCTTGTCGGCCTCGCGCCCGAACAGCGCCCGCCACAGCGGGCCCTTCACGAACAGCAGCACCCCCAGCACCTTGGTCTCGCGCCGGCCGGGCCTCTCACGGGCCACCAGCGCGTCCAGGGCCCTCAGGCCCACGTGGTGGCCCAGCTGGGCCAGGCGGGCCTGGAGCTCGGCCACCGAGGCCACGCGGCGCTGGCAGTACTGCACCAGCTCCGAGAAGAGCAGCGCGAAGGCGGCCAGGGACAGCTCGGAGCGGGGCCGGCCCAGCGCCCGCTCCAGCACCGGCGACTTGCCGCGCGTGAAACGGGCGTCCATGGCGGCCTGGGGGCGAGAAACGGGGGTCAGGGGGACACTGGGGACATTGGGGGACATGTGGGATTTTGGCCAGGGACAGCTCGGAGCGGGGCTGGCCCAGCGTGCGCTCCAGCACCGGCGACTTGCCACGGGTGAAACGGGAGTGCAGGGTGGGCTGGGGGGCAGAAATGGGGGTCAGGGGGGTGCTGGAGGGGGGTTTGAGGGGGTTTAGGGGGAGTCTGAGGAGGTTTAGGAAGGGTCTGAGGGGTTTAGGAAGGGTCTGGGGGGCTTTGGGGAGGGTCTGAGGGGGTTTAGGGTCGGTCTGAGGGGGTTTAGGGAGAGTCTAGGAGGATTTAGGGGGGATCTGAGGGAGTTTAGGGAGGCTCTGAAGCAGTTTGGGGAGGGTTCAGGGGGTTTGGGGGGAATGTGAATGGTTTAGGGAGGGTCTGAGGGGGTTTAGGAAGGGTCTGGGGGGGTTTGGGAAGGGTCTGAGGGGGATTTGAGGGGGTCAGGGAGACACAGGGGACATTGGGGGACACTGGGCGACATGTGGGATTTTGGCAAGGGAGAGCTCGGAGCGGGGCCGGCCCAGGGCGCGCTCCAGCACCGGGGACTTGCCACGGGTGAAACGGGAGTGCAGGGTGGGCTAGGGGGGGAAAAAGGGGTCAGGGGTGGCTGGAGGGGGGTTTGAGAATATTTGGGGAGGGTCTGAGGGGGTTTGGGGAGGGTCTGAGTGGGTTTAGGCTCAGTCCGAGGAGGTTTAGGGAGAGTCTAGGAGGATTTAGGGGGGGTCTGAGGGAGTTTAGGGAGGCTCTGAAGCAGTCTGGGGGGGTTTCAGGGGGTTTGGGGAGGGTCTGAGGGGGTTTAGGGAGGGTCTGAAGGAGAATAAAGGGTGCAGGGGACAATTATACAGGGCTAGAGCAGGGTGTGAGGGGATTTGGGGAGGATCTGAGAGGCTTTAGAGGGATCTGAGGGAGTTTAGGGTGGGTCTGAGGGGGTGTATGGAGGGTCTGAGGAGATTTAGGGAGGGTCTGAGGAGGTTTAGGGAGGGTCTGGGGGGGATTTGAGGGGGTCAGAGGGGGCTTGAAGGGCGTGAGGGGCAGCTAGGAAGGGTTAGAGAGGGTTTTAAGGGGTTTGGGGACGATCTAGGAGGGTTTAGGGAGGGTCTGAGGGGGTTTAGGGTGGGTCTGAGGGGGTTTGGGGAGGGTCTGAGGGGGTTTAGAGAGATCTGAGGGGGTTTGGGGAGGGTCTGAGGGGGTTTAGGGTGGGTCTGAGGGGGTTTAGAGGGATCTGAGGGGGTTTTAGGGGGGCTCTGAGTGGGTTTAGAGGGATTCTGGGAGGGTTTAGGGAGGGTCTGAGGAGGCTTAGGGAGGATCTGAGGGGGTTTAGGGAAGGTCTAGGGTGGTTTAGGGAGGGTCTGAGGGG